ACGATTATCAATAATATTTTCAGTGCTTTAACGTAACATAAGTATGAGAGCAATTTTTACAATATTTTTTTTCTTTTTAAATTATAATATCATAAGTTATCATAAGTTGCAATAAAATATATTAAATATAGTAACATAATGATTAATTTTTAAACTAAACGCTTTTTGTTTTTACTAAACAAATGACATTTGGCATTTAAGCTAAGATTTTAATTCTACTAAATTAATAACTTAGTAGGATGCGTTGTTAATAAATAAATATAATTAATAATAATGTCATATACTGAAACATTTACAAAAGATTCAAGTCTAATATATTAGATTAAAGCGAGTGGCGTAAAGGTAACTACATACTTATACAATGAACTCGTTTATTTCTTAAAATTCCTATATTACTGTCCATTACCTATGACCTGTTTATTAATGCTATAACATTAGAAATATAGTTGCGCTTATTCACATCTAAAAGCAATATGAACATATAAACATATAAACTTATAAACATTGCTCGCGAGTAATTATAGCTTTTACAAAATTTGCTTAGTTATGCTGCTTGCCAAGTACAAAAAATATTTCAAATGTAAGTATATTTACACCATCTTCATGGAGCTAATGTTTCCGTATAGGTAACGGATGTGCTTCCGAATTAAAAACCCATTTTTCCAAATCTATTTCTTTTCGATTGTCACTAAATAATAAATAAAAGTACTTAAGTGTTTCGCCGAGCCAAAAGCTCTCCATTACGTCACGCAGTCTTGTGTTCAACACATTTTTAACGTTCCCAATGGATGTATAACCATTAGCAACTTTAGTGTGCTTTTGAAATGCTTGAAATATGTTCCAACCCATATCTTGATAGGTCCGATTGCCGGTTAATGCATAAAAATAGTACAAACTTTCTATGAATTCTGGACGCAGCAAATTATGTGCATCATTTGGTTTCACATAAATATCGTGCTCTTCATTTTCACTAACAGCAAAATACGATATTTCTGGTGCTAGTTGGGTAGGCTGTTTCATGTAAGTTTGATAACAGGTCTCTAGCAGGTCTCTAGCCAGTATCAAGTGCGAATCAGGCATACCATACTTATGCCCCAGTATTAACGTGCCAGGCAAATAACACGTTAAGTGATCCATTTTTGGTTTAAATTCTTTGCCATTAATAAGTTCGCCGATAAAGACGTGTTGCTCTTTGGGTGTACGTCGCATTAATTGCGTCATAACACCATCAATGGAACGTAAGTAATCTAAAACGAGGCTAAAATAATTTTGTAATTAGTTATTAAAAGATGATGTGTCTTTATATACTACTCTACTTACTAATCATTTTCTTTGCGTCCGGTTTGTATCCACTGCTTTAAGAGGTATTCGTAGTAGGAATCACCACGCGCACCCAAGGATATGGTGGCATAATTTCGAAAGGTTCCAGTATTAGCATTTATGAATATTGGCACCAAACCATTATTTTTATCAAGTGCATGTACTTTCTCATTTACAGTCTCTACCAACTTGAAATTAAGACTTATTCGTAACGACATTAATGATATTAACGACATTTACTTACTCTTTCATAAATTGGTACATTGGTGGAACGACTCAGATCTCGAAATTCCAACTGAATTGTTGTAACTTCACTAGTAGAACTGTCTGGAGACCATTTAGGTGAGTGAGCCGATAAAGAAGCCAGATTAACATCTGAGTAAGGAATTCCCGATGGTGACAGAAAACAAGGCAGCAAACGATTACCGAGTTCCACCTGGTTTAAATAATTTATAATATACATTCACGTATTCAGTTCGCACCACTTACCGATTTTTTCAAAAATACTTTATCACCACTCAAATGATAGGCCGACAATAAACCGCCCAGTACACGTATGGTCACTTCAAAGAGATTCACATCTCGATTCTTATCAAAATTGAGTTTTTCATTTACCCAATTAGTTGCCTCCAAAAATTCTACATGGAATCATTATATATTAGTTAACTTATGAGTTTTGTAAAGGCTCTTTAAAACGCATTATATACCTACCGTCTTCTAAACCCATTATATACATGGTATCTAATGAGTCTACTAGAGTTAGTCCAAGTCCAAACCAATCGTATCCTGTCTGCGAAATCGGTTTCAAATTATCAAGACCCCACGCATTTTTGCGGTAGCCATCCCATGAATGCTTGAATGCGGCTACCACAGCGATTTGTCTTTCATTTGTAGCTCCATGGAAGTGTTGTTTTTGCGCTACAATTGCTGTTGAAATATTCTTAAGAAAATCATCTATTGTTAAGCCTTTTGTATCAGGTAATATCATTGGATCTTGTACGGCTTTTTCAATAATCGTATGATCCCTTTCACTTTGCACTTCAGCAAGTGATTCAACATTATTATTCAAATTTATTTCTTGTATATTTATATTATTTTTCTCATCGAATCTGTTCAGTTGTAAATTCGTTTTAGGGGCATCTTCTACCTTGTCTAAAGTCTCCAATGGTAAGATATTAGACTCAACTGGAGCCTGCAAAAACACATAAAAAATTAAAATCATCTATTTTTAAATAAAATAGATTAAATTATTTTATTTATTCATCTATTTTTAAATATCTATTTAATAAGAAAGGATTAGATAGTAATTATGTAAAGCAAGTATAACCAACCACTTTATTCATGTCGTAAATCCTATCTAGCAATAGGTATATAAAATAAAAATATACTTATCAAATATTATGGATGTGAATGTATATGTAGACCGGAATAAATTTTAAAATCTAGCTTTATGTATAGAATATTATGTATATTGTCACAATAAACACTTCTGTTGAACTTAACATTTGTGTCTACAATATACACCTATCTAATATATATAAACTTAATTAACATTATTAAAGTGACCTGAAATCTAAAATAAAAATTTTTTTATTGTAGTTGGATTGTTTTGAGTTGAACGAAACATGCATTGCTCTTCTGGTCAGTATAAGATATATGCAAGTACATAAAAGAATTATAAAATGGAGCGTTAAGTAGGCGTGAGAAGAATTTTAGCTGGAAATATAAGGCAACAAGAAAAGGAGAATTAGATATTCTCATTGTAGCTGTTCACTGCGGTATTGATCTTTAACCAATATTTCTTTGCAGAAAGGAAGAGCCAATAATATTGCCATTGAAATTACTTATATAAGCGTTAAACGACACATCGATTCTCATCGTAAAGGATATAGTCGTATTGAATCTGTATAGTCGTATCGTATACATGCTGTAAGCATGGTGTACTGTAAATATACGTTTCGGAAGCACCAAACTAAACTTCAAAAACAGTTTAACTTCGGTTGATATCTTTCATTCCATTTATTTTTTGCTTTATAAATTTGTTTGTGTGTTTGCCCAGAGTATAACATACGAACACGTTTAGTTTCTAACATAAAGACCCACCTTCAAGTAAATCTAGAACAAGCCCAGACATAGTACATGCCAGCCAAAAAGAGTGTTTGATAAAAATGTTCAGCAAAAAAAAAAAATTTATAATTTACAATATCAATTATTGTGTGATTACTTGTGTGAACTTCCCTTATCTACACTCTGCGGCACTTGTACTAGTAATTTATTTGCTTAATGATTTTGGGGCGATAAGTGGCATAATCAGTGCAGTATAACAGTCTATTGATAGAGCATTAAATAGCAATCAATCGCAGATTTATTTGTATAGCAATTATTGGAACACTCAAAATGTAAGTACAGAAAACCAGTCAATCGTACACAATAAGCGATACAGTATGCGTAAAGCACTATAAGTTACTCTACCAATAATTGGAATTTAATAGTTTTATTACCTCTATGTGTTCTGGTATGCCAGCTGCTTCAGGTTCAATATTACTTTTAGTTTCACTTTCTTCATTGGCTAAAATTTTGTGCGAAGCTGCATTTTTATTCTCATTTTCCTGCAAATTTGATACTTCGCGACCAGCGTGAAATGGGAACACACCTCCACCAGCGGCATATGACTTGCGTGATTCAGCCACAATTTGATCACCAGGCAAAAATAAAAACCATGAAAAAACTAAAACCGTGGAAATTCCCATTATAATGAGATTGCGTTGACAACGAGGCAGCTGGTTCCATGTCTAACGCAAAAAAAAAATGTATAAAAAATTAAATTTAAAAATGAAAATTCAATAAAAATGAAGTTACTTACTCGCCGTAAACTCTTGCTTTTATGTGTCGCTGGCAGATCACTAATAGTAACGCCTGCAGGCAGTGTAAGTGCTATATGCCCACTATCCATCCTAAACAATTGCTCTACAATTTATTTTTGGCTTAAACACTATTATATATTCACTATATCCTTTAATTTACATCTTTTTAAATTAATTTAACTACTGCTGCTACGACCCATCTTCTCAGCTAAGATGCTAAAGAGAAATTAATGTCAAAGTACACAATAAATAAATGACAATTCTTAACTGTGTAGTGCTTATAAAACTGTGTGAACAGTTTGAGAGTTTTCCAAAACTTACACATATGGGAACAGTTTTGTTCAAATGTGGAAAGAGTTTTGCAACAGTTGTAGACTTAAATTAAAACGATATTTTATCCTCATAATAACTACTTAGCAAAAAAATTAAAAATAAAATTAAAAAAAACTGACAAATATATAAATAAATATTTTACTAATTAAACAGCAGTTAATTTAATATTTCTTTGAAACGCAAAAGGTAACCTACATACATATGTGGGTAAATAAAACATATTAAAGTTTATATATTTTTAATATAGAAAAAAAATATAATATATTTTACAATAATAAATTCAATTGAAAGTAGTATATTCAATAGCAAATTACTTAAAATACTTAAAATACCTACCAGTACCAGCTTAACAAAAAATTCCGTTTCATAACAAAAAGACATTTTTTATTTGATTTTGTAAAATAATAAAAATTTTGTATATATTTTTAAAAATAGTATATTTATATATGTAGACAAATGTTTTACTTTATATAACCTACATACAATACAGACAACAATTTATTACTTTAAAAACACATATATATGGTATTCCAGTAAAAATTTAAAAAAAATAATAACTTTATTTAGCACACATACACATACATATATTCGTATATATTTAATAAAAATAAGCGTACAAAAGTACTTAGAACTAGTGTTATTTTTTGGCTGCATAACAACCATTACAAACCCGGGCTGGCTTTCCCCATTGACCATTCTCATTGAGTAAGACCAACGTATGGTCTGAGCAATTTTTACAAAATATTTCACCACAACTGCGGCAGTGGTGTTTACGCGTGGTCAAGTTGAACTCTTTACGACAATCGGTGCAATGTGTAACTAGACAATCTGGCGCCCAAATACCTGCAGTAATTGGTTCAGTATGTGATTGTAAGGAAGATGTCGACGACATCAGTGACTGCTGCATTTTTTCACGTTCCTGCATTTCGGATACTTTTAATTTACTTTCACACAGTTGTATACCCAATTCTTCTAGTGTAGTTTGAGCCTCTGACCATTGAGTACGCACTTTCTCCAATTCAGCTTTTATTTTTGAACTTTGTTGCACATTATCGTTTAATTCCTTGCAGTAATTCTGTAAGCCTTGTATTTTTTCTTGCAGCGTGTCTCCTTTCTCTTGCAACGTTTGCCTCCATTCGCGTTCGATACGAGCATTAGCTTCGGCGTGAGCAGTTCGTTCTTCAAATGTCGCCACTTGCTTAGAAAGCTTAGAGACTGTTTGTGTTGAATTTCTCAATGCGTCCTCTAAACTTGATTTGTCAGCACTCCATCTTAATCAAAAAAATTATATAGAAAAATTAAAAATATTAATTATAATTTTAAATATATTATTAAAGTTGTTCATTATGTCAATTATGGTATTATCTAAAACTATGCAGATTGATATGAAGTCGACAAAGTCAAGTGTCATTTATTTCGAACAGACCCGAAACTACTACGCTTCGGGTAGAAATGTAACATATTTCTTATTTTTATAAGTACTATACGTTAACCAATGAAAAGTTAAGAAAACTATAGGGTTATTCACGAGTTCGAGTAACGCGCTCGGTAACCGAGTAACTTATTAAAAGTGCAAAGCAGCAACAACAATGTACATGTGAAAACATTGATTTAATCTAACGCAAAAAGTCTGTCTTACAGACATGAAACAACATGAACTACAAAAAGAAACTTTTTTATTTGATGTCAATTAACCGCATGGTTAACTGCCATGAACTAAATTATCTTGGAATAATTTACTTATGTCGCTTTTCTTACGAATGGTAAAATTCAAGCGGAGTGATTAACAACACTTGGCTGTCGTGAGCGAGGCTCTTGTAGGCGCAAAGCTAGCTGTTTCTGGGATCAATCACTTCAGTTCAAAGATCAACGACAAGTTTAAGTATTGCATATAATTATGATAAAATTTTTTCGTTTTATTAAATCATAAAACTTCACTTTAGCTTGTCCTTTGTCAATTAAGCAATATTTATTCAATTGTCCTATTTCTTCGTCTTCCGATAAATACTCGTACAATATACTATAAGTTATAGTAAACTAAATTAATATGGGACTAAATGAAAGAGGGAATATATTGTCTTAACTATGTTAATGGGAGTATAGTGTAGGAGTATAATATAATAGGAACTTATGCTCGCAACGGACCAGAACACAACTATAGAACTATAGAAGGTCTTCTGGACTACAAGATTAACACATATACTTATAGATATGATTCAAGGCGTCTAAGACAAACTTAAAATCCCTTATAACATCAGAAACAAATCATTAACAAACAAACTATTGATTTGAGTGTAATGCATCTTCACATTCTTTTATAGGCTTTGTGTGACATAAGATCTTTACATTCTATTACCTTACTGGAGAAAAGGTTAGCCTATAGTTACAAGTTACATAATAAAGGTTAGAAAATAAAATGTGAGTTCTGAGATTATTTAATGAACTGAACATAAGCACTACTTCCAAATAACAATGCTAGAATCTCATCTCTAAGCAATTGATATGTTAGAACAATGAAAGATATGCATGGCAGTGAAGATATTAATAAGTATTTACGTCTGTTGTGGTTGTAATAATTAGAGCACTGCTTTTTGATATGCTATGAAGCACTTTTCAACATTTTCTAAACAATTTCAAGAATTACTTTAGTCCTACCATTTAACCACATATGCAGAAATTCAATAGCCTGACCAAATTTGTATTTATATAGTCTAGTTGTTTCGCTAGGATGAAGCACATATAGCATAAATTCGCTTATCCCCATCCATTGAAGTGGTGCTTAACTATGATTACTGAGATATTACGACTGAACAAAAAGTGAATAAAAACTCTACAACAATCCAGTACTCCACTATTCATTAAATTAGTCTATAAATTAAATGAAGGAAGTGAATTAAATTGTATAAGCAAATAGAAACCAAAGGGTATAAGCCATATCGGTCTATCGACCAGATTTGTTCATAACACGTCTTCCGGATTAACAAATAAGTGATCGATCCGGACTACACGCCATATAATGCACATCTTGTATTTTTTAATTTTGTATATACATGTATATAGAATTTAAAAGTAGTTAGTAGTCAACACTCACTATATTCCAGAGCAAGCAAGTTTAACGAAAAACCTTATTGCACCATTATATACAGACCCCCCTATATCACTATGAAGAGATTATTCAATATACAGCAAATATTTAAAAAGGCTCAAAATTTTAGAGTTGTATCTATCAGACGCTGTTTGGAAAGAATTTTAGGAAAGCTCCTTGTATGAAAAGCGAGGATTTCATCATATTACTGGCGTATATATATATGTATATGTATATTTATTCGGTAACTATATATGATAAAGGATAATTTAGATTTAAAACATAAAGATGTTGCATTTCAATATTGAAGAGTGTAGAAACTGTTTACAAATTTCGCTTATAGATAAAGAGTAGAATTACACGATATTATGACGGTTTTAAATTATAGTACAAAGAATAATAAAATGTTAATGCCTTGTGCCTACTATTCAAAAGAATGGTACTGATCCTATCTCAATGATTTAAAATCGATAATTACATTAAATATGTAATATTTACATATAATAAATATGTAAATACATATATGGCTTTTCTTGAGAACTATTTTGTTCTTGAATTACTTTGTCCGGGACTATGGTCGAGAGACATTTTTGAGTCACTTGTTGCTCTCATCATAGTTCCACTGATCGCAAGAAATGCGAACCGACTTCGTACTTCTAAAAGCTAGATGTAGTTGTTATATCAGTACACTTCTCCAGCTCTTTGACTCTCATTATCAATCTGCTTTTGTTACGTTATTGTTTATTAATTACAACATAATCACATAATCTTACTTTTGTTCTAATTGCGAGATAGTGTTTGCCATATCTTCCTTGTGGTTTTCTAATTTACTGAGCAATTCAGATTTGTGTTTTAGTGTTGCTTCGGAGTCCTACGTACGTAAAAAAAGTATTCAATTAAAATAAATTTATTTCATATATAATCTTTATTGTGTATATGCATATATACGCTTCATATATTTATATATTATATATATTTGTTCCATATACAATGTAAATTAATGTTAAGTAATAAATGAAAGCATAATACAGTATTACAGACAAGCAGATGAAATGAAATACAGTCATTTTTAGTTTAGATAGATACTTTGTGTATAGGATTAAGATAATTTATATTTATATTATTTCTATATATATATATATTTATTTATTATCTACGTACATATATGGGTATTATACCTTGTCTTCTATGACTTATTTGTTGGCTATATTTTTGTATGCAACAACATCAAAGTATCGTTAGATATTTTTATAAAGATAAAATATATTGTCATACGTAGTATATCATTTCCAATACAATATTAGATGTTAAAGTGTGTTACATTTTTTCTTAACAATACATTAAAATATATTACAAACGAAACAATATAGATCGGTCTAAACAAGATATTGTGCTTTTTTCTTAGTTAGTTACAAACGCACTACAGGTACGCATGTTCTTGATTAATTCCGGTTTCAGTATCTTTTGAGTTAGGGTTGACGCAGCTTAAATCGATTTGATGTGTTATCCCAAAAATTAATATATTGGAATATTTATGGAATTAAAAATTAAAATTATGCATATTTTTTATTAAGTATGTATAATTTAATAATCGAAATAAATTACTTTGGATTAACTTAATTAAGCAATTTAACTACCATTAATTAATTAGTATGACAAGATACTTTCAGATTTAATTTTTAAGTGTATCCTTTTTAAATAAACTTAAGTACAGGTTTTTAAAAGGCATTATATTATAGCTAGTCGATTTACATACATATATAATTATTTAACAAATTTCTATACTTTACACATACAATTTTAATGCATATTTATTTGTCTATAAATAATTATCTGACATAAAACTCATTTTATTTTATTTCGACTAAATAGTAACATTTTACACATATTATTCATTTTAGTTCAATGAAATAAAGTTTCATAAAGTTTTTTAGCTTCACACAGTGAATAAGATTTCGTCTTTACTATATCTAATAGAAATTTATAAACTAGGGGAAGGAAGCAAGGAAGGACATAAGACACTTGTTTATTTGGTATTCGCAATGATTTGACTAGAACTTAACTGACCAACTGCTTAAAATTGTAAAATTTCTATAGTTGATGTTTTTATATACAGGGCCTAGAACTAGAACTAAACCAAAACACAAAAAAAATACCGATATTTTTACCGATGTGAAAACCGGAACTGGAAACTGCACTAATATATTTTTTTTTTAATTCTACCGGAACGGTTCAAAATTCTTTTCGTCTATTTTACACAAAAAGAAATTAAGAGGGGTCAATTATTATATCAAAACTTGATCTGTGTAAATAGTAAGCATTCATCGCAAATCTTCTTGTAATCCATATTTCAAAAATAGCCTTAACTAAATAATAATTAGCGGTTCAAAGCATTTTGTTACTGGATAATTATATACTGTATTAATTTTATAATAATATTATTATTATTGAGTGTAATATACTAAATTGAATAGTTAGCACTGGTACTTTTTAGGATTCCCTACCACATTTTTCCACAAGAATGTCACGATTCAGTATCATCTAAATTCTAAAGAGTCATTGTAGTTTTATATTCTATCTTATTTTAACTTTTTTAAGCAATAAAGCAAAATTGATTTCAATACATGTTGTTGTTGTTGTTGCCCACATCTGTTTACTGTATTTATGGAAACCTATTTAATTCACTTCCCTTGCGAGCGATGCAACTCTAACGGACATGATAAACGAAATATTGATTTCATACCCAAATAAGACAACATTGGAGCAACCAAGAATAGAATAGAGAATAGAGTCTCTATTCATCATCTTCTCTTAAGAACAATGTAAATTTAAATTTTAAGCATTGTAACTTTCTTTTTGGATTCCATAACATCTATAACTATTCATTTTCTTACAAAACACAATATAGTCCACAATATAGATATATCGTCTTTATCCAAATTCAAAATCACATCTTGCATGAAAAAAGTCATTCTGGAAATGATGATTAAATATATAGTATATATTTAATCTGTTGTTGCTAAATAGTTTAATTATAGTTATTTTATTTAAAATAATATTCACTGTGTGAAAAGTACATAAGCGATTTAGCTTATTTATTTTTATAACTAATATAATCACATAAATTTTACGATTAGTTTAAACTAAATAATTGTAAATGCGAAAAATAACATACTTTCAAAGTCATTAATTATAAAAATTATTCATTTACTTAATAATTGTTGTTGTAGTAAATTTTTCTTCCGACAATAGATAGTCACTCTTCGAAGTGTCAAGAGTTGTTTCGTACTTCTTCCCATCTTCCATAAGTGATTTAGCTGATGTTGGTGTCTTCACTTCGTTCGATTTGTGTGTTGCCTCATCACAGCCTCCGATTTCATTGGCAGTTGTTGTAGCCATTGGCGATTTCCGATAGTTATTTGGATTAAAAGGTGGTATAGCATCGACTTTCAAATGTAAACGCTTCATTGGTGGTCCAATGTCTTGCTTGTGCTTCTTCGTGAGTGCTTCGAATTTCTGTAGATTTTGTTGCCGTCTTGTGTTTGGTGATTTGTCACCGTTGGAACTGCCGACTGATCCATGATGGTGCTGTTCCAATTTGTTTTCGTATTTTTTTTCTAACGATTGTAAAATATTACCAATTTGTGATGCTTTGGTCTGTAAACGCGATACCATTTCACCTTTTTGCGTGAGTTCGTCTTCACATTCCTGATTGGAATTGATTGGGGGGTACGTTAACAATAACCAATTTTCAAGGCATAATGTTAAATAAAAATTATTTTCGATTCCAATAAACAAAAGCCCATAAAATAAATGGTCTTACAAAACACAAAAAAAAAAAAATTGGGATAACTAAAACTATTTTTTATAGATAAATTAATGATGAGTTTTTATGAATGTGAGCAGATGAAATAAATATGCACGATTTTATACTTTTTTATGATGAAAACTTATGCAAAATACCTTGGGTCTATTAGAGCCATAAGATGCATAAGAATCCGTTTATAAACCACTTTCTACCAACCTGCAATTTACGATACATTTCCAAATTGATTTGCTTAATTTCATCCAACTGTCTGCGTAAAGAGACAATCGTGTCCTGCTTCTCATGTATATCCTTTTCAAGCAACTTCATGGCCATATCGGATTCTGCTTTTAGAGATACTTGCAATTTGAGTTCTTTTTCAAGCTCTGCAGTTTTTTTCTTCTCCTCTGTTAGGTCAGCTGTTAACTTATCTGCAGTGTTTTTGTCATTACCGTTGGAACTGTTTGAACTAGTATCACTATGGGCCGCCAGTGAGGTAGGTGATGCTTCTAGTATATGCATTTTCAAGCATTTAACGTAAACATATATAAATCATTATAAAAATACACATTGCGTTTACCAATTCGAATTGTACAGAAAAGTTAAAACCAGATATAGTAGATTTGGTTAGATTTTGCAGTAGATATAGTAGATAGATAAAAGGATTCTTTAATTTGATTATGTAAATAATACATATTCAGAAAGCAAAGAGTACATCTAATGCATGTTAGGTAAAAAATAGTAATCACTCTGATCTTAATGTAGATTGGATTTGCCGATCTAAGACTAAGATCGTAAGTATACTTAAGCAACAAATTACTAATTAATTTTACAGTCACTAAGGTTTTCGAAAAAATATTTATCGATACAAACAATTCGAATTGAATAATAACAAATGCATTAACGAGTATAGCATCATTTTGTATACATACTTATGGCAATTGCATTTTGACGCATTGCCTGGTTCTCGGCTTGAAGTGCTAATAAACTGTTTCGCGCAATCGCCAAATCTTCCTTCATCAAAGCATTTGTAGTAGTCAATGATTCTACTTTTGCTTGTAAATTTGCCACTGTAGCACTAAAAAATTATTTCATTTTAATTAAAGATTCCATTTTTTTTTAACTGAAGAAACTATTTGTACACACTTTAAATGCCTATTTAATTCTTCTATGTAATTCTTCTGATCCAAAACAGCAATCATATTACCCTGGCCGTTCGTATCTAAAGCCTGATTAACATCATCCTCATTATCATTACTTCGCGAGCTTGAACGCAAATAAAGCGAGAAATCGATTACGCCCTGTTGGGAATCGAGATCTTCTTCTTTCACGCACAAATTACAATCGATCACATTTAGACCGACCAAAATTCCCATTATAACCACAATCTGTAATACATACAATATATTGCTTAGAGAGTTCTACATATACGTGGTCATTAACATATGCAACACACCTCATCACTTAACATTAAAGCATGCGGCTCATAGTACTCATAAAGTGAATCATCTCTGTGCTCTATAAGGGATTGAAGATAGTCTGCTAGTTTTTTCTGCATGAGTGCAATCCGCAACCAGGCTCTAGCACGTCCTATATGTGTACGTACAGTTGGTAAATCTCTCACACTTGCGGTTATGTCTTGTGCCTCGGGGCAATAGTTTTCAACACTTTGCAGTAAGTCCCATAGTTCTTTTCGTGGTCCCAACAGACCCTAAAAATTTATTTTTATACATTCGTTGTACATATGGTGCATTGATTTTCAAATAAGAAATACCTTTTTCGGACGAAGACCATGACCAAGGACATGTTCAATAACAATAAAAAAATGTTGCAACGGTAAGTGATCGGAGTCCAGCATACGTCCATATCGTAGAGATTGTTCCAATAATTCCTTAACAACTAATTTGCATATATTAACTAAATTACTACGCTCAATTTCAGCAGGATCACGAGCTAATTGGGTAGAAAATATAAAATCAGGTTGAGTGATTGCTAGTACCCATTTTAACAGAATATTTTCGCATTTAATTCATCTAATTCATCTAATCTATTTTACGCAATTTCAAATTAACACAAACATACTTATACCACACTCATACATATGCAATAAAGTATACCATATTGTTAAAATCTATTTTAAAATTTTTTAATGTAATTATGCAGATGGAACTGAAAATTGTAGCTTCTAAGATATGTTGTTGTTTCATCCAATGAAGAATCCCGACACGACTATTGTGTTGATGGGATATAAATACACGGGTTAAGGATTAATGGTAAGATTGCGGATAAATTGAGGAAGAGTACTGAAAATCAGTGGAACTAGGAAATAGTGTGGAGAAATTTAATTTTCATCACGTTATTAGACCAGCAACAGAATTTACGATTTGTGTACGAAGCGTGACAAATGAACATCATGAATTCCAAATCAGATTAGACAAGCATATACAGGATAAGTAACTCTTTAAAATCCAGATATCCGATGTTTTAGATAGATTACTTAAACGAGCGTTTCTTTATAGCTAAATAGCTAAATCATCTTTCTCTATAAGGAAAAATTCGTACCTATAATCTAGATTTACAAAGTTCATTTATATTTATATACTCTCTTTATAGAAACAGAAGAATATTGATTAGATTTGTGGGAACTAACTTGGGTCGCAGTTATAAATTTTAAATTATTATTTCTTTTAAAATATATTAATGTGTAAAACATTTATTATAGCAAACGGAGTTTTTATATAATATTAAATTTCCTTTAACACAATCCTTTAACAGAGGTTATCAAGGTACATTTCAATAAATTATGTTGATATTAGTAGAATTAGTTAAAAATTAATTCCATATACATTCCATTCTTTACGTTAAAGTCTAGAGAAAGAAACCTTAACAGATATAAATTCATCTAAGGTGCTGTCTCAGGACAGATAAATATATAATAAAAAAATAAATGGACAGTCAGAAAATAATAGAAAAGTTGTATATATAAGAAATGTTAGATATACGTTGTTATGCAGTTAGAGAAGCAATTCTCTCCAGCTATATGCTTGCTGTCTTTTCCAACCGTTCCAGCACGTGGTTATTTAAAGGTTGGAATTTCATTAACGATACTAAGACTGCAGCATATAAATAACAAAGAAGGATACTAAAAGCGAAATATCCTTCTAAATACAAAGATACAAATACTAAAAAAATCATACTACACTATTTGATTAGGTCCTTGAAAGAATATACATATTTTCTATAAAATATTAACTCAGAATTTATTATAAAATAAAACGATTCAAGTAACCTGTTATTTAAATTACATTCATAACATTTCTATTGTTTTTTTTTATCTCTATAGAGAACTAGAATACGTTTATACATTATATTATAAGGCGGAAACTTATACGCATTCCCCGATTCTGAACTTGTAATTATGCCAGAAATTGTAATAATCAGAAGGGAAGAAATGATAAGATGAAATATGTGTTTTCTGTACTCTACATAACGATTATATTGTTTGGCGTGTGTGATTCGGACTACGAGTTCGATTTGAAAACTCTAGAGAAACCGAATGATTTAATAAGTAACTTACAACTGGCTGCCGACCTAAAGACGGAAGTGCAAGACAGTCTGATGAAACTTAACAGTAATTCAGAACCTGAGGACGATAGTAAGGTATTTTACGAGAACAAAGCCAATGTTAAGAAATATATAAAGCACGGATCTCATTCGCATCCACACCAGGATAGTATTGTAGTTAAACTGAGTTGTCCGAATGTAGTGGAATGTGCACCCAAAATAAAGAATTTTGTTGGCTCAAATTTATTTTCCAGTCAACCGAAGAATTGTTTCACGAGCGAAGATGTTGCTTTATTAACAGTGCGGAAAGACTTCGAGGTTAGATATATATTAACAAATTTTTTTATAGCGTAACAAACTATAAAACATGATCTTTGCAGTTGCTGATACCGAAATCATTACCACAATGTCTACTCAGTGACGAAATGGTAGGAGTGTTAATGCATTATTTTTGTGTTGGTAATCAAGTGATACAGCAAATGCCGGCTGATATATCAAAGCATCTTTCAGAGAGAGCATTTTATGATGTGCTCGGCGGCTACTTAAAGTGGTACATGCTGCCAGTGGTAAAAATATCCTTCTATGCTGGTCAAGTAAACCTAAACACAATCGAAAATGTTATTGCGCTATTTGAACAATGCAAAAATTTTCTCAACACCAATGGCAATGGTTGGAAACAGCCAATGGCGGACATACTCAACGAATTACACAATGTACGTATAGAACCACTCAACATAGAAGCTCAAGATGAAGGAGATTGCAAAGATGAGCCATCTGCTTGTGTTAATTTAGATTTATCATCTTGCAATAGCGACGCCGAAGGCGAAGAGATAATAGTATCGCTACCGAAGCTAGAGCCTGATGAATCTGATGGAAGTTTGGGTAATATTTGGTTACCATTTAAGAGAAAACGCACATTTAGTTTGAAGTCGTCTAAGTCCGCTTACATACTTGTCAAATTTTATGAAACTGTTACGCACTGTTACCAGTTTCAATCTCTCTGCCAAGACAACTACAATCATAAATTTAAGGAGTGGATTTTAGAGAATATTCAGTCCCATCTTTCCGATGAAAATTTCTATCCAGGACTTGGTGCCATACTAAGAGTATATGAGAATTTAAAGCGTGGCAAAAAGAGTACGAGCTCCAGTAAGAAGCATGGAAACAATAAAAACTATCGCGATCATTCACTTACTTTTAAGGAAGCTGGAGAAGAAGAATCAACGGAATCTAATGAAGAATTAGAACTAAGTAAAAAATTGAGAGAATTCGACGAAGAAACAAAAGCAGAAGCAGAGGCAAGTGAAACTGCCGATACATCAAAACCAAAACCAAAGTGCAAACCAAAATGTAAGCCCAAACCTAAATGTAAACCTACAAATAAAACTCTTGCACATAAAATTCAATTTAATAATCTTCGTACCTCAGTTATGGATTGGTTGAGACAAAAGCATGCACTTAAGTACTTGTGCTACTTTGTTGCATTTTTACTTTTTATATTCCTCTTGATAATACTCTGCGCTCTTCTCTCGAAGTATAGAAGAAACAAAGGACATATCAGAATATTACCTCTATCACCACGTCGGAAGCGTGATTCTTCACCTACAAAACCTAAACGCAGAACCAAACTCTGTGACAAAATAAGAAAGTTTAAGCAAAAAAAATGTAAAGACGAAGAAATTGCGATAAAACCGGAGTCTAAAGCAGTTATTGCAACTAAACCATGTAAGTTCACACTTAAGGGTTTACTAACTACCATTTATTAGAATGTATTGAGCTTATAAGTTTATTATTTAGACAGCGATGCGTCCTCGACATCATCAATATTAGCCTGCTATCCAAACACAAAATGCATACCTATATCGAAAAGAAGTGGAAAGTCATCAGTGAAATCGAAACCATCTATCCTTTCAACGACATTGTTTGGTTCCTCTTCAGAACCGGAAAAGAAGAAACCCAAACCAAAAGTAGTTAAAATTAATGAAAAACGAAAAAAATCACCTTGTAGGAGTCCTTGTAGAAAATTATGCAAGAAGGGTAAAACAGATCAAAAGCGGGTCAAAGCTGGTAGTGCCTCAAGTAGTAAGGTAAATCGAAATATCGAAATAATTTACATAGTAGATGTTTTTCATTTTAAATATTAAACATTTTTCAGACCGGTTCTGCCTCAGAATCAAAAGCAAAAGAATTGAGTATCGAATGCGAGAAAAGTAGTTGGGAAACCCTTTATGATACAAAATGATAAAATAATTGATTTTCTATTATTTGAATGTTTTAATTTTTTTTAGGTGAACATTTATTTTGGTTCTGAATTTTTAATGTATTTATTTATAATAAAGCTCCTTTCCCATAAAACTCATTGCAAAAATTATTAAAAGTAGACAGACATTTGTGGATAATTTGAAGGGTTTAGGGAGTTGAAGTGCGTCCAAATATTTTATTTAAAAAGAAATTCTTTAGTTTAATATTAAATTAACAAGTAATCGATTTTGAGACTGATCGATCAACCAATCCATTCTAGATTGCTAATTAATTTATGCATTAATTATAATTTGGAACTATTGGTTAAAAAATAAAAAATTTAGATGTAGAAACTGTATTACTAGTTTTATCTAGAGTGTATTTAAGAGAGAGAGAGAGAGAGACCAAGAGAGAGAGAGACCAAGAGAGAGAGACCAAGAGAGAGAGAGACCAAGAGAGAGAGAGACCAAGAGAGAGAGAGACCAAGAGAGAGAGAGACCAAGAGAGAGAGAGAGACCAAGATAGAAAAAGAAGACTAAGATAGAGAGAAGAGAAAGAAGACTAAGATAGAGAGAGAGAAAGAGACCAAGATAGAGAAAGAGACCAAGATAGAGAAAGAGACCAAGATAGAGAGAGAGAAAGAGACCAAGATAGAGAGAGAGAAAGAGACCAAGATAGAGAGAGAGAAAGAGACCAAGATAGAGAGAGAGAAAGAGACCAAGATAGAGAGAGAGAAAGAGACCAAAAGATAGAGAGAGAGAAAGAGACACAAAGATAGAGAGAGAGAAAGAGACCAAGATAGAGAGAGAGAAAGAGACCAAGATAGAGAGAGAGAAAGAGACCAAGATAGAGAAAGAGACCAAGATAGAGAAAGAGACCAAAATAGAGAAAGAGACCAAGATAGAGAAAGAGACCAAGATAGAGAAAGAGACCAAGATAGAGAAAGAGACCAAGATAGAAAAAGAAGACTAAGATAGAGAAAGAGACCAAGATAGAGAAAGAGACCAAGATAGAGAAAGAGACCAAGATAGAGAGAGAGAAAGAGAAAGAGACCAAGATAGAGAAAGAGACCAAGATAGAGAAAGAGACCAAGATAGAGAAAGAGACCAAGATAGAGAGAGAGAAAGAGACCAAGATAGAGAAAGAGACCAAGATAGAGAAAGAGACCAAGATAGAGAAAGAAGACTAAAATAGACAGAAGAGAAAGAAGACTAAAATAGACAGAAGAGAAAGAAGACTAAGATAGAGAGAAGAGAAAGAAAGAGAGTATAGTTCGCAGTTACTTTTATTTGGTCACATTAGAAAGTCCATTGAACAACAACAAATTACGTGTTGAAAAATAATTGAAACCGATTTCATATGTTGTTGTTGCGTCATTATCCTTTTCTATTGAAAGACAAGTCTTGCTCATATTTAAATTGGTGGTCATGAATCCATAAATTGTTAAAGAAGATTTTTAGAAGAAGAAGATAATAAAATTGGGCTTTTATGAAACAAGTATTTGACTTATTAATAGTAAAATCTAAAAATTAACACACTTTTTCACATGAAATAAATTAATGGCAATAGGTTCTAAAGCGAAAAATATTAAATAGTTTTTTAATAAAATATTAAAAGAGCATTCTTGCTGCCTTGAGTACACACTCAAAGTACACTCTGGCACAGGTACACTTTACTTGGACTTCTATTGACTAAACAAAGGCTTGCCTTTTCCACTTAATTGCTATGGAAAGGCACTTCAAAATGTGTCGTCGTGAATGATATAAAAAGCACTACTGCACAAAGGAAATGTCGGCAATTATAACATACAGTGTAAGAACGTTTTTATATAGTTCAATTCTTCATTTGTGTGTCACTTGGTCAAAGCACTTAAGAACACAAATTTAGATCCTAAAATTCAGATTAAATATTTTCGTTTGCGTGCAATTCTTGGCAACTAAAACAAAATAAAAATGCATAAAAAGTAGTAAACCGAAGAAAGAAATCAAAATAAAAATTGTGATGCGTAAAAGAAGCAACCTACAAAGATTAGACCATTCACCACCAGTACTAGAACCACCAATAACACCACATAAGCCATTATCTTGTGCGTGTCTTGTTGTAAGCAAGTGCTGACTATTTGTTTTATGAACGTGTTCGCGCTCATGATTCAAACGACGACTGATTAAATTTTGTATTGCCAATATACCATTATCCTCCAAGCCATTGGCTGACATTCCTGAGTAGCGCTTGTTCTTGCTGCCGAAATGCGTTTGGCGTCCAGCGATCATGGGAGCACCGTTCTGTTGGTTTATGTCTAGATCAGCCAACTCTTTAAGGCACAACCATTCGCCATCGACCGACACTCGAAAATTACACAAATAGATGGTGTCTTGCACCCCGCCAGCGATTTCTTCGTTCGTGTTGGCATGTGCTGCTTTTGGAATTGCAATTGTTGTAGAATTATTGTTGTGCTGCTGTTGCTGTTTTTGTTGTTGTTGTTGCTGTTGCTGTTGTTGGTGATGCTGCTTCTGCCTGTTCTGTTTCTGAAGTGCACCATTGCTGCTGAGATTTGCACTTTGTTGCTGTTGTTGTTGCTGTTGCATTTTACAATTTTTATTCAACGATTTGTAATGCTTTGTAATGTTTCTTGTTTTATTTGTTGCTGTTGCAGTTGCAGTTAGAGTTGAAGTTGCAATATTATTAGAAGTTGTGCCAATATTGTTATTGTTCAATGCAATTTTTTTGGTGTCTTCGACCAAGGTACGCATGTTAGTTACGACAAAATGCTTAATAATATTTGCCTTTAATGTACAATATTGGTGGTCACTTCACCTTTCCGCCTCCTTGAGAACATAAAATTAAATAGAGAAATTGAAATAATATTATGGGACCGTAGAGGTGACAACACAATTGACTTTTGCACACTTTTGTGAAAAATCGAAATGATTCAGGATTATTTACGTGATTACCTTTTTGATTCACAACTTTGCCCAGTTGCAGTTGCACTTTATTACAAAATTTCTGAGATAAATTTTTATTGTATTGCAATTAAGAAATTTAATTCAAAATTCACAAAAACTAAAATTACTTAAAATTAACACAAATTTTATAATTATTGCTGCTTGAAAGTATTGCTTGCAACAACTTTTGCTCATGCTCCGTTCGTGTGCAATTTTCAACGAATTTTTAGGAATTGTTAAATTATTGATTTTCCTGCAATAATCAAAATAAAAGTCATTTGCAACACACACTGTGTGTTGTGAGAAGCTTATATCAAAGTTTTCACCACTGTGGTGAAAATTTAGCTGAAAAATAAAGTTCTGATTAGGAAGAATAAAAGTTGCACTAACAGCTGATAAATGTTTTTCTTCTTTGTTTTTTTATTAAACTAAATGTAGGGAAATAACTTGCTACTTATAGGCCATTATTATTATCACCTATTCAAAGTTAATATATACTTTTTAATTGCTATTAATAATTTTTTTTACATTTATATAAGCTATTTAACTATTATTTTTCTAACATATGTCGAATATGTCGAATATATGTAAATATTTGCAGTTAAATATGGTTAAATAATTTACATAAATACAAAAAAATAAATTTTAATATAAATTATAAATTATAATATATTTTATGTAGTAGTCAGAATTTCTGTCAGATACTGACTCCTAAAAAGTCCATGACTTCTTTTTTAATACTAATTGATCTTGCTAAACAAAAAATATTCCGCTCTTCGAATGAAAACCAAAATTACACCTGTTAAGAATAAAGTATATTCTTAACATTATTATATTATTTCACTGAAATGATATAATATTACAATACGATAAAGTAGCTGAAGTGCATCAGTTACACTTACATACCTAGTGGTTTCAAGCAGTGTTTATAATAAAAGATAGTCATACGAGTACCTTGTAAAATATAGAAAATGTTTCTATACACATTAATTATTTTTATTTCAAATTTGTTTAAAAACAATAAAACAAACAACAATAAAAACAAAGACATTACAGATTAAATTCCTTATCACTAATCACTATGAAGAAACGCATATCAAAAATTCGTACTTTTATATATTTTAAAAACGAGTAATTATTTCCAAAAAAAAAGTATATTTTTATTAATAAAAAAAATCAACTTACTTGACTTTTTCTTAGTTGGTGGTGGTGGTGGTGGTGATGATTCGGTGGGTGTATACATGCTCGATCCTGGCGTAACTTCTGAAGCAGCACCAATTGTGCTCGTACCAGTGACAACTCCGGATGCAGCCTGTGCTGCATTCGAAACTATTGTGCCAATTTGCGATGTAAGACTTTCGGATCGTCGAAATGTATCACGTAAACGACTTAAAGTGGGAGTCGTTACTGATCCATTAGATGATTCTTCACTTTCTTGACGAAAAATTAATTTTTTTGCACTCATTTTTATTTTTACAATTCTACAATATTGCACTAAATTAAAATTCACAATTATATTTCTTTACACTAACTACAACTATTTACAATTATTTTATATATATATATACATAAATTTATAAATTTTTTTATGCAAGCAATTATTTTATACACCTTTAATTTATTATTCTTTCGTATTGTTATTCTTTTGTTGTTTTTGTTTTACTCTATTTTGTACTGACGTTTGTTTCTTACTACAGTGCCTAAAAAACTGTGCACGGTTTGTTAGTACCTGAAATTAAATTTAACAAAATCGGATTATAACAAAAACTCAACGTAGGCAAAATTTAAAAATCAAATCAAATTTTTTACAATTTGTATTAATTTTTTCGTGAAAATATTTTATATAATAATTATACTAAATTACTTAACTTTTTAAAAAGTATCTTATAAAATTAACGAATTGTCGTGCATGAAGCTGTCAAGCTGAATGAATGATACCCTAATTTGAAACTAAACTAAGATATTCCACGTGATCGTCCAGTTTAGTCTGTCGTCGCTTAGTCTCACAAGTCGTTATTAATTGGTTTCCTTAAAATATGGACATTATATTGGCTTTATTTAACATACTTCAACTTGTCTTACAGAAAGTGAGGCATCTTCTAAACCTCACATACAGACCGAATATTTATTTATTTGTTTGAACAAAATTTTTAAGTTTATGATAATAAAAAAGTAAAATATGCCAAAAATAATATCTTCAACTTTCCACGTGAAAGCTATTTCGCAACATTTAAAAAACTTTTAAACTACCCAAACATATAACAACACAGCTTTAATCAATAATCAATCAATCCAGGGAGAAAATAATCATAGACTCAAATAAAAAAGTATTAAAATGTTTTGGCAACACGGTGAACAAAAATCAAACAAGCAATATCTGATACCAATTTATCAATTACATATAAACTGTCCTCTTCTTTGCGTTCAATGTACTTTGCTTTATTACGCAGCAGCAATAGTTTATAGTGGGGACCTGAAATTTCAGATTGTACCTTAGAATTTTAGTGTAATACAATGTATAAAATGTATAAATAACGGTAATGATAGTGTTGATCTAGTATGATGCACCACAATAAACTAATGTATATTGTCATTACAATGCATCTTTATGCTAATCCAAGTGTTTTAAGCTAGAACGTCGGTAAGGCTACTAGTATACACACTTCAAGTCCACTTTAAGTCTTTTTAAGCTCCCATATGGTCCATTTAAATAAGTTTTTTACTGAACATAATATTCGTGTTTAGTTGAAAACAAATAATTTTTTTAAATCAAATATTCTTTAATGAACTTTAAATCTTTATCTTATAAGTGCCAGTCTTTTAAAAATTGCAAAAACTAATATTGCATCAGTTCGTTATTATAATATGCTATGTCATGTTAACTACGAGCTTTTTAATAAAATTTTTTTAGCAACTTGGCAGCTCTTAACGAAGAGAAACAAAAGAAAATTGAAAAACAATAAGTTTGTAGAGAGAAAAACAGCTGATAACACATTCCGCCATTATTCGCACGGTACACAATAATTATATCTAACAAAACAAAACTCCAATTAAAAATTGAGAGACAATTAAAAACAAAACCTAGTAGGCTCCCATACAGAATTAATAATGTCAATTGTTTTTACAACATTTTCATTACAAATTTGTTCGTTGTCGTGTTTGGTAGCAATGGTCTTGTATTAAAAATATATTTTATATTGTAAAATTGGACTTCAAAATATTGCAAAATTGCAAGTATTTAAAATTTAATTGAATTCGCAAACGAGAAAGCGGCAATCAACTCAGTTTCAGTGTAAACTAGTAAGATACTGCGTAATATTATTGCTTATACGTACATGCGTGCATACATACATACAGTATAGATATACAACATTAATTGTTTAAAATAACACAAGACAACAACAAATACACAAAGACAAGCCATTTTATTTTGTTATTGATTTAGTTACGCTAACGGATTAACAATACAACAGTATAAAGCAACAAATTCTCAGGTGAGTATCCCATTTACAAAAAAAAACAAATCAAAAATAATTTTAAATAAAAATTAATAATTCAAAATAATAATAATAATGACAAGATGAACCAATTGCTGCGGAATTCGGTAACATCATATGTAGTAACAGCTGACTCCAATACATGAAGTGTGTGTAGTGTGTTCATAATATTTAATTGTGTGTGCAAGTTAAGTTGCAAGCGTCTTTTGTCTTCTGATAAGATTGCGAATAGCCTAAGAGGCCTGATAAATGTTATAACAACAAACTTCAACATCGTCTATAAGGGCTACTTGTGTATGCACTTCAACGCCATGTTTTTAAGCTCCAATATGGTGCACTTTAAAGTTTCTTATACCGCCAACAGAATGTCAATAAGAAAATAACTCTTTCTATATATAATTTCTAACAATTAATCGCTATGATTGGTCTTGATTGACCTAAATATGCCTCACAGCTTCTTCGTTGCCACTAAAAAATTTACGAACAGGTTTTAATATTTCAAAAAATAAATAAATATTTATTTTTATTATTATTTTGAGGCTAGTTAAGTCAGTACACTTGAGCACTTTTACTCTCTATTAACTGCAAGGTTTCTCCATAACCCCTCTCTACGCCTTGACTGGATTGTTGTTTATCACTTCATCAGACTAAGCAATAACTGACCTCAGATCTGCATAACTACCCGTGGAGCCTGTAACCATTCTAAGATTCGATAACGCGGTGTTGGTAAGCCTGTCAGTTATCGTAAATAATTTCAGGGCTCTATGCTTTATGTATTTTTTGATCGGATCAATCTTGAGGTCTCTGAGGATGTCATAAGTCAAAATTTAAAATTTTTACAAATAATATCAATTGCCTTTTAAATATAGAATTTCTGGGTAGAAAAAGATTTTCATGCAAAAAATCAATTCAAATCGTCCACAGATTTAATCAAAAATAGTTGTAGAGGGGGGTCTGTAAAGATGAGTTGCTCCGGAGCAGATAACTAGCCGTATTGGAGTATATTGATTTGTGTATCCATCTTTTTTTAATATCCTAGGTGTTTATCAGCACAACCTGATGACAATATCTGCATACATTAGAAAATAAACTAAATAATATACTAATTATTTCTTAAAAGTCAGCTATATTGCTATTATTTGGGCTTATCTGCTGTGCCAGATACATTTTAACAACATCTAATTGTGTTTAAAGGCAGTTTTATCTATTTTTAGTTATTTGCAGCATTTAGCACATTTAAATGACCCGAAGATATTAAGTTTGATGCAAAATTAACTGCAGGGCGAATGTCTATAGTGTAGTTTTTCAGATCTTGGGTTGTTGTACTGTAAGAGATAAGTTTTCGTATAATATCGTGTTGTAAGCTCATAAGCTTATATAAATGATTACCATAAAAAATATTTCTAGGAATAAAAATATATGTGAATTCATTCTTTTACAATCTTAAAACAATGATATCGGCTTGCATATTTCGTGTGCAAAAATGACTTCACTTCTTAAAAAATCAAAGTCATGTTTTCTTTTGTTTTAGCTTCGCAATGAATTACACAATTCCCAATTCCGATTTTTTAAGTACATCGGGATGTTATGCTTTATATATTCTGTTCTGTTCGTCGATTTACTCGTACTCGTTATTCACAAGCAAAGATTAGCTTTGCGGAATTCAATCGATTTCATTAGAAGCCTCACTCGAAGACATTTGATAAGAAATTTTGAAATATCACTTGGCTTTGTGTTTCAATTACTTCAGATAATATATTGCTCTATATGCTGTAAGGTATATATGTGTATGTATATGTTTATGTTATGATAAAGATTTGCCATAGACATATATATGTATATGTATATTCCTATAAATTTATTAATTAATGTAGCAATGTAGCAAAGTAGCCAGTAGCAATATACAAACCAACAAAATCTCGAGTGCGCCCATAAAATCAGTGGCTAACAGCTTATCATGTCTATGGAGAGAGGGTCCGAGGGAAGAGTAAGATAAAACATTTTTTTTCATAGAAAACCAAAACAATGAATCACAGATAACAACACAATATCGTTGGGAGAGAAGTGGATTGATATTAAATGCGACATGTTTGCACATTGCAAAGCACGTTTCGATTGATTATGAAAGTAAATAGTGCAGAGTGCAAAAAGAACTTAAATAAATAAAATTTCTGCGGCTATATTGCAAAAATGGCTGTGCTCATGTAAAACCATAGATCAATATTTATACTCGCATATGTTAAACATCTGCAAGTTTATACGTCATAGTTTTATTGACGAAACTCATATAATTTTTAGATTACCTTCCTCTGAAAGACCGAAAACTTCTATCTACAAAATTGCACGAACAAAAGCGATTTCCATTTAAAATCCACTTTACGATTACTGACTATTGTTTATTTACTAAAATTTTATTTATAAAATATAACGATAAACAAACAATGCCCCAACAACGTTATCTTTTGTGCTCTTTCTTTTATCCACGACATATTAAAGGAAGGTTCTCACGTTTTGCCTCAATGTGTTTTGGTCTCATCTTCTTCTTCCATTGCTGAAGACGCCAAGAGTTCATTAGTTGTGTTTTCCGACTTTAAATCGTCACTACCCGTCAAGAAGACGATACTGCGTCCCTCATTCGAACAGTAAAAAAAACTTCTTAAGATCGTGAAATGTATCTGTAATTAAGACTCGCGGAAAAGTTGAAGTGCAAAAATAATTCTTAATTAATAAATAAAATTAATTATTTGATATACTGCTGCTGTTGGTTAGTAGCGTCAAGATAAAGTTTTTGTAAAGAAAGTAAAAAATTCATTTAAGTTCAGTTTTTTCCATATCAATTGGAATAAATATTTGCATTTGTTTTCATTAATTTTTTTAAAACAAAATTATGTGGAATTTATTAAAGTGTCGATCGCATATATACATATCTATGGCATAACATATGTACATATATAAATCCCGCTTAATAAGCGTTTTTCGACAATGTGATATCAGTTAATTTTGAGCTTGTTTTGCGCTCCATGTTAGCAGCGGAAAATAGACGAGACATAAGGTGCTCTATAGCGTATAGATTGTTTGCCCTTGGGTAATAAATTAAATGTGTTGAATGAAGTTAAATGTCGACTTGCTTTAATCTTGCTTTATGTTCAAAAACAACAAAAATGTTATGTTTCTCATTTCCTATGATAATTATTGATATAACATCATGCGTTTCAGTTTGTGTTCTATCTTTAGTTATTTGTTCGAAAACGAAAACACTGCCATTTGTAGACACAAGTGTCTTCTTAAACTACAGTTTGCTACACAGCAACTTCCCGTACATAATGATGTGGCCAACTACAGTTTACTATATATATAAAGAGTATATGTATTTTTCTGTGTGTATAAAGAACCAGTAAAACATTTAAAAATAGTTAAATAATGAGATGAATGCAATCTAGAAACATTTTTATACAAATTAATTGAAATATTTATGACGGAATTGTTGTGGATGTGAGAAAACGTTTAACTCCGCCAATGACTGTTTACTTCATCGCTTCATCTTTCGGAACAGTAAAAATAAACATTTCCAACACGTGCTTTTCAATTTATCTAGTAGACTTCTAAAATTGTATGTAAATCATTTAGGTTATTCAGCAAAATTATTTATTATATATTCAGACCCGAATAGAAGAATAATAAAAGACAAGAGTACAATAGTTTTTCAACTATTTTAACTAAACTAGAAATATCTTTTAAAAGTGTAGTTAGATTTTAATTGGACTATTCAATAAAACTCTTAACAATACTTATCATTGACATTTACACTTCAAAAAGTGCTGGTTATATGCACTAAAAAAAACACGAATTAAACATAAGTAAAAAATATTACAATGGAAGCAAACAGATCTGAGGTCAATTATTGCTTAGTCTGATGAAGTGATAAACAATAATCTAGTCAAGGCGCAAAGAGGGGTTTTGAAGAAACCTCGCAGTTAATAGAGACTAAAAGTGCTCAGGTGCACTGACTCAACTAGCCTCAACATAATAATTTTTTAAATTTAAAAATATAGTTTTCGTAATTTTTACTTCTCCAATAAATCCACTTACACATTCATGAAAAGAAATAAAGGATTAGATTACCCATGTCAGATATCCATAAATTACAATTTCTAATTATTTGCATATATTATAATTCGTTAAAGGTAGATCGTGATCCTGACGATGACTCCCAAGGAAAGTCGAAATATAGAATGTATTAAAAAATATTAAACAAAAAATGACCTATTGCTGGATAAAAAAATATATAAAAACCATGGTAAAGGATTAGATGATTTTACTTTTAAAGTTCCTTTGTGTCGGTATTTTTACGTATTAATGTCTTTCGAATTTATGAGGACTCTACTTTAGAGCTATAAACTCTGTTTTGTTTGAGATCTTTCGAAGTGTTTAACTAATAGTTTTCTATTTTCTGCACAGATTTTCTTTTTCTTTGTAAGTTGCGATAAGCGAGTTTTAAGTGTGGAGTGTGGCCAGTATGAACGGTTTATAAAACCGAAACATCTAACATATACTTAAGTGTTTTACTTATTATTTTCAGATACTAGCTTTCGTTGCCTTATATAGTTTTATATAGAAAGATTCTATTTTTTGTTTAAATGACTTATTCGGTATTTATATATCTATATCAGCTGTTCTATTGCTTTGATGGATAACTCACTTGCATGATATACGATTTGTAGTGACATATATCATTGAGACATCCTTTTGATCTTTCTGAAGATGTACATTGTTGATTGCATTAATACCCATAGATTTGGTATTATTTTCATTGATTTTAAAGACTAGTTGTAGAGAGTTTACAGCATTTAGTGTTAGTTTCTTTTACGTTTCATTTTATGCAATGTTAAATGACATTATCCATGTGTGTTAGATGGATTAGTTCGAACGTTTCTGTAGTGTGTAGTTTTATTTCACTATGTGTAAGGTGGTGGTCTTTTTGTACCACCTGACATGATATGTTTCGTAAGAAAGGACTTAACATTATGTCAAGTTTAAATGCATCAAATGTTTACAAACTAATATTTAAACAAAAGATAATTATAGTCGACTTACTACTCTATTATAAACCTATAACAGTTGCATTAAAAGTAAACTAATCTCGGACATACTGCGTTTATTAAAACATAAGAAAGTAAAAATAAAATTAAATGTGAGGTCACTGACCTCTTATTTACATATATTAAAATGTTCGCTAACATTTTTTTGCTAAAAATGTTAACGAATTTGTTTTTACCCTATAAAAATAACGAATTGTTTAATGTATAAATTATTTTTTTATTATAATTTTTTTTTATAATTTAATCTATATTTTCCATAGTCTGATATATATATATTAACATCAATATATTCCATTGATCTTGTTTTATACTGTATTTACAATATTTCCATATCATAAGGTAAGATGTCAAGTAAGGTTAGATTTTGCTGTAATAATAGAAATCAAAGGCTTAAAAACCACCTTGAATCTTTGACAAGACGTAAAATGCTTTTTAGAGGGAGGTCCTGAAGCTGTTCAGAACTCTTAAAGAAGTGAGTCTCTAGGATGTCAAGTTACTTCGCTTACAATTTCATTTAGCTTTATATTCACACCACTTTGAAATTTTGCATATCTGTATATTTACGTATATGTATGTCTCTGATCTATTCTCCAACAATTTATTTTTGTAAAGTGGAATTAATGCAGAATGCAGAATGCTCGTGCACTTAATTATCACTCAAGCTCTTATCCTAGCATATAATTATTTCTGAACTAAAAACCTTATCAGAAATATTTATATGTAGTGTATTTTCTGTTGTTTATTAATTTTTATTAGTTCTTATCAGCTCACTTGACAGTAAGACAGTGACCATAAAGTGCAAAATATTATTTATCTGGCTTTTTCAGTTTAAAATTACATATATAACATATAATATTTCCAACCCAATGTTGATGCCATTACGAATGTCTGATAACGAATGATATATACAATATTTGCCAACAGTAGGGTGCTTTAATTTAAACTGTGGTTTTAATCTGTAAATATAGTTTTAATTAATCATTTATTGCTTAATGCATATGTATTAGATTATGTTAAACATGAAGTGTTATTAGTAAATATTTATAGAGGGTACGAAAGCATTATCGAAAAACAACTTAAGTGACAGTTTTAAAATCAAAATTGTCTTGAATCGTTTCTTATCGTAAACATAACCGTAATAAGCATTTTGGGTGTTAAGTTAATTATTTTATGTCTATAATTAGAATATTTACTATATCAGCAGGCATAAACCGACCTCTACGAAGATTTATAATTAATATTTGCGGAGAACTCCACATCTCAACGTGGAGTTCACCTTTTTTAAATATACATATTATTAAATTTAAATATGTATATTTCTTTACATCTTCATTACCTTATTTCTTACCATCACAGATAGTATCATCAATCGCTATATAATGTAAGTCCAGTTTTGAGTTTCTTCAACAAATCTGTGCACTGATTGCGATTGGGATCTAACGTCACCGCTGTGACGGTGCAGTTTGATAACGTGCTTTAGCAATGAAAAATGTTCTCTATCTGTATATAAACAATGAAGTTCAGAGAAATATCAGTGTTTATTATAGTATTATTTATTAATGAGTTTTAAACCTACATTCATTATAATGTACACTAACTATATATCTCTGATAGCAATGCTTTAACATTGACGAGCCTATTAAGTTTATAAATTTATCTTACTTACAGTTGTGATATAATAAATCCCTTTCCCTGTATATCTTCTATTGTCTCTTTCCATATAATCAAACAGAAATTTTATAATTCAAAAAAATAAATAAATAATGCCGAATGGTCGTATTGATTAAATTTGCCTACGTCAAAGTTTTCTTCCACGTTTTTGTAGTCACCATTGTTTGTGTTTATTTCGGGTAAAATTGATCTCCTTGTCAATGAACCGGGCATAATTCCATGTAATCCTTTGTTTATCTTCTGAAGTCCCAGTTTCGATAAATTTTTTTGTTGATTGTGCATTATTTTTTATTGCTGTCTATCTTATCTGTTTTAAAAATCAAAAATAGCACGACGCTATGGTCTCCTAAAAGAAGTAGCAAAATGCATATTCGCCAGGTTTCCATTGACCAACGTCTAGTCAGGCTCTTCAGTATAAATTCGTGCTCTTAACTTATCGTGTCAATATTTCTTAGTTTGGTAGTTTTAAATGAAAAGCTAAAATTTTAAAGTAAGTTAACAATTTGTAAAATATTAATTGAGAACTTTTTATTTGTTTATTATATGACAAAAATTGATAATTGGAAAATTAGTAATTTTTCTTAAGAAAAGACTTTTTACTTATCAAGCAAAACGATAACAATTCCATTGGATATCTTGAAGTGATTCAGTGATAATGTTCAAAAATATAAAGCTCTTTGGATACTCCAAAAAATAGCTAAATTGAAAAAGCCTTTAAAAAAAATGTATTTTTTAAATATATCTATGTTATTCATAGCATCATAGCATAGGTTCTGCAGTTCGATTCCTAAGATGACTATATATGTCCTATCACTGCTCGGTTACTTAGTTATTTAGTGTCCCTAAAATAGACCGCTACGACTAAAAACCATACTGGAAGTACTAATATTTATTTAAGGATAATAAATGCTACGACTATAAACCATACTAAGGTATTAATATTTATTTAAGGATAATAAATGCTAATAAATACAAATATAAAAAAAAATTAATATATTTAATCTCATCGAGAAATGAGTTCAAATTATTAATTTATGGCCACAGCCATATTGAATTGTTATTGAATTGTTATTTTCAAGTTCAATGTGAGATCGCGTAGTCGTGAAAGTACATATCATCACTTAACTTAATACCTTCGCTGGAAATTTTCACATACATTAAGTAACAATGATTCTACTATCTTATCTTTTATATTTAATTATAGAACTCACAACTTTAGTTGACCCTTACAAAGGATTAAGTCATCACAAATCAATGGAAAACTGTTGCTATGCATAAATATACGTAAGCCCCTCAGGAGTGGTTTAAAAAGTTTATTATGAAAGATATTATAATAGACAGTTTTGTCAACTCTTCAGACAACTTAAGTGAAAATAAGACTGATAAATTTCAAAGACCACTTTCTCGATCTTTTGTATAAATTATAGATAGTTGAAAAATTTTAAATTTATTTATTCAAGTCATTGCTTCCAAGTTTGTCACGCTAAAAAATTCCTGAAACATTTTTATACGCAATATACTTAATATTTATCTAGAAACTTATATATTTCTGTGAGGTTATAAAAATCGAACACATATCCACATTAACATATTAATCCCCACTAATAATTATTCAATCTTTTTTCAGATAATTAAATTATACAGAACTATTACTTTGAACGGAACATTGCTTGTATGACATATCTGCAGTATATGTTGATAATAGATGCATAATCGCTTAAAAGAAATAAAAGAGATAACACCCAGAAACGTTTCAAGACAATCATCTTAAATTCTTCTATAGAAGTTGAAGGTACATCTATACCAACAGCATTATAATGAATGTGACAGAAGGCTATTTTGACGAACATTTCATCCAAATTTATACACATTTAGTCCATAACTATGTGCCGGATTTTTTTACAAGCTTTGAATATACTCCTTGGATATTTTCATTGCTTGGTTCAGTAGTTATAGGCTTAAGCGGTATTTTACCACTACTCATTATACCCACGGAAGAAAAACTAGCCAAAGAAGGCTACAAAGATCGTAAGTACCTACTAACTATTATAACAATGAAAATAAATCATATTCTAATTTAAATATCTTTTTAGCTGCTGAATCGAAGTTCCTAAAGGTATTATTAAGTTTCGCTGTAGGCGGACTACTAGGCGATGTATTTTTGCATTTACTACCAGAGGCATGGGAGGGAGAAAGTTTGAGCTGTATGTTATATTGCAATTATATATATTTATTGAAATAGATTATTGAAAATAGTTTTCTTTTTTCCTGAATAGCTACTTCTGGTCATCACTCATTAAATTCTGGTCTTTGGGTACTTGCGGGTATATTGATATTTACAATTGTTGAAAAAGTATTTTCTGGTTATGCAAATGCAGACGAAGAAAACCCGCAACCAAAATGTGTGGAAATAGCGAATTGCCTTTTGCGTAAAACAGGCGGGAAATTCATTGAGGGCGAAACATCAGAGAAATGCGCTGGTTCCTGTGATATTGAAGACGTGCCAAATGGTTGTTATTTGCGTGAACGTGAACAAAAGCAGAAAGAGCAACCAAAAAAAGTTGCAGGATATTTGAATTTAATGGCTAATTCCATTGACAACTTCACACATGGACTAGCAGTGGCTGGTTCATTTTTGGTGTCCTTTAGGCATGGAGTATTAGCAACTTTTGCTATTTTATGTAAGCAAATTTTATACTTATCAAACCTATATAGGAAGTAATATCATTCCTTTTTCACATTTAAGTGCATGAGATTCCACATGAAGTTGGAGACTTCGCTATTTTACTACGTTCTGGTTTTAATCGCTGGGATGCAGCACGTGCACAACTTCTTACTGCTGGTGCAGGTTTAATGGGTGCTTTGGTAGCCATAGGTGGTTCGGGAGTTACATCCGCTATGGGTAATTACAAAATTTAATTATGAAGCCTTACATTTTTTAGTTTATGTATTTTTCTTTATGTGATCCATTAGAAGCTCGAACTTCTTGGATTATGCCATTTACTGCTGGTGGTTTTCTACACATTGCTTTAGTAACAGTATTACCTGATCTATTAAAGGAAGAGGAACGTAAGGAATCAATAAAGCAACTAGTTGCACTGATATTTGGAATTGGATTGATGGCGCTTATGACCGTATTATTTGAATAAGATAAATTGCTTACAAAAGAAAAAATAACTATAAAAAAATTCAGTGAGTGGTAGTGGTAGTGGGTGATGTTTGTAGAAGATTTATTTTGTAATTGCTGCGCAATGCAAAACCGAAAAGTACAAAGTTCTGTTGTGAAAACACTGAATTTGTAAATTATTGTAAATAATGCAAATTTCTTCGAAATTCAAAATGATATTTGCGATATTATATGTGTATCTCAAGGCTTGTACTAGAAACACTATTTTTGGAGTATATAAAATTCAAATATTAATATGATTATTATATCTTTGATGTATTGTTTAGATTTATTATGATAAAAATAAAAATTTTTCTATATAAAATTTTGTTGTTAAAACATATGTATATATTTATATATGTATTTGTATGTAAATATACATACATATATACAAATAGTTTCAAGATATTGAATAAATTAATTAATAAAAATACTAAGAGTAATATGTATTGTATACTAATAATAATTTGTGATATAAGTAGGAAGAGTTTGTAATGCAAACTTCCTTTAAAAATGATTATATATTAACAAATAATTCATTTTAAATTAAGAAAACATTTAGAATATTAAAATAAAAGAAAATAATGCAATTCTTTGTACATACAAAAATATAACTGTTATTAAAGTAGCATACATTTATTGTGTAAGAATACCTAAAAATAAAATCATACTCTTATCTATATACCATCCTTTCTGGTTATATTATACGTATTATATATATATTCTCACATATCACATGAAAATCTGAAATAAACAAAATGAAAGCTTGCTTAGTTTTGTCGAGTTTAGATTCGTTTTACCTACAAATATTTCGTTTTGTAGTGAATGAAAAGCATTGTTGTTGTTGTAGTCCGGGGATATCTATATAGCAGGATACATGAAAGAAATAAAATACGACTACAAGGTATGCTATGAGGTAGGGATAATTAAGAAGAAGAAAAAGAGGAGTCGTTTGGCATAAGAAATGGCTGTAGATTAAATGGGTTTATCTGAGTCGAAGAAACCAAACCATTTTATTGAGAGCGAGCCAAAGATCAAGACGGCTCAAATTTGTATGTGCATTAGGGCACAATAATTGGGTGACATCATAGTAAGTCAGTCTGTAGTTGGGGCAAACATTGAGAATTAACGTATTGAGGTTTCAAAGATAAGTGCTTTACTGTACGAAGAAAGTGTTTTTCTTTCGACAGAACGCAACGGTGATCTCGAAAAGAACACTAAATCGTTATGGATGGCTGTTAGCTCAGGTTTGATTCGAACTCTCTGATATTAGCTCTATCTCAAAAGATATCAATGATACAGAGAAAGCAATTACGTTAACATATAGGAAGCGTCGATGGCTGCAATGTTAATCTTATAACAAGGAAAAGAGTTTCCATCTGTGTTTATTTATCTGCCGTTCTGCTGAATTATCTATCTGCATTTATGATGTTTATCTGCTCTTATATTTGGGAACTGTATATTTAACTGCCGTTTTGCTATTTATATGCTGTTTTGTGCATTTTTCTGTGTTTCTATCAGTTTATCTCTTTTTCTGTCTATCTACTGCTGTTCTGTCCATTTATCTACTTTAGTATTAGTACCGCTTTTTTGTCTGCTTTCCTCTGTGTGTTTAACTGTGTTACCGTTATTCATACATCTGTTCTCTATATTTATTTGCTTTTCTTTTTGTCTGTCTACCCGTTTTTTGTCTGCTTATCTGCCTTTTGGTCTACTTATAACCTTTTTTTTGATTTTCGGCTCGATATATGCTGTTCTGTGTGACTATCTGCCTTTTTGTCTATGTATCTGCCTTTTTATCTATCTATCTGCCTTTTTTAAAATACTTGCAATATATTACTTGACAAATGGTGATAATATTTGATTTATGTATATTTTTGATTTTACTCGTATCAGATTGGATCTAGACACAGCTGCAATACCAAATTCTGGAAAATCGGAAAAAACTTCTTTATTTGTTAATATATAAAGAATTTCCATAAAAAAAACTGGAATTCAATTTAATTTTGTTATATATTGTAATATCTCTATTAATTTTTATATATAAATTTTATATATAAATTGTTTATGATGTTTGGTATTTCTTTTCTTTTTGGTTTTTTTCCCTAATTGAAATATTTAAATATAAAAACTTATTACATACATATATATACATATATATAGTATACATGTATATAGTACAGAATTAACATAACCAGAATCGGCGGAAATTAAAAAACCATGATTTAGAATAAAAAAACAAATCCTTTTGGCATTGATATGTACTTATATAAATATATAAAAAATAAATAAATATTATTATAATATTAATATTATTCCGAAAATAGTTTTTTTATTCTTTTGTTACTTTTATTTATTTAGTTTTGTGTTTTTCTATAAATTCAAAATTATGCATGAAATTGAAGACCGTACAAAAGAATTCGTGTATTCGTGATTGTATGGCAACACTATTGCTACTTTGTGTGGCAACCATATTTGTATGCTCAAACATTTTGTGTTTTTGTGGAATTTTTGGCGTTACATTGTTCCAGATTTTAATTAAAATAAATAAGAGTGCAGTGTTTGAAAATGATGGTAAAGCGTAAATAATTGTCAATAGATCATAACCATACAGTCTGATATTGCATTTAAGGTGAAAAAAGAGGGCAGGACAAGGTGCCTAGATAAAAAACACGTATACAGTTTCAGGAACTCCTGGTTGGAAGAGCCACAATTTCAAGGTTGGTTGCAAAAAATTAGTGAAGGTGGAACAGATGTGGCTTTTTGTTTATTCTGTAATCAAAAAATAGTTGCTCACAAAAAAGTACTGCTGAGACATATCGGAACGCAAAAACATCAAGAAAATAGTATTGTAAAGGTTTTCGAGAACGACGAGGAAAAGGAAGGCATAGAAGTTCAAGTACAGGATGTCCATGTGAGTACAATTTTAAGCTTCATTCAAGCATTAATACGCAAAAAATCCAGCAATGACACCTAATTCATTAAGAAGCTAAAAACAATTATGTCTTTTTGTTTACTTCGTTCGTTTGTTTCGAAAAAAAAGAATGATTATTTTCAGACCGGCAAAGCAGCAGCTTATTGCACCCAAACCTTGAAGACCGAGAAGGAAATTACGGAATTAGATGGAACGAAAACCAAAATAATACAAATTGGATGTGCTGTAAGTATATTCATGCAACGCCAGCCGTTATTTTAAAATATAAACCAAAAATATGTTCCAAACTTTAGTTTGAGGATCCCCTTTGTGAGTACCACGTGGAAGAATCAGTTATCCCTGTATCGAACTCAACGCAAAGCTCGGCCGTTACTGAACAAATTCCCACCAATGTATCTAGCAACACCGAGCCGCACATTGTAGAAAAGATAAAAGCTGAAACCCGTTATTTTAATGAAATGGCGGAACTAGCCCGCGCCAAACGAAATTATATTGAGTTACAAACAAAAAAAATAAAACTGGAATTGAGATCAATATTTAACAAAAGAGATTAACAAATGCACTTTAAGTCCTAATTAGGTTTTTTATAATTATTTAAATATTATTTTAAATATTTAACAATTTTTTAGCGTAAAATTATGGTAATTTTTAAATACCATTTTCAAAAAGGATTAAGATTGAATTTACCATGTTGTTTAAAATATATAATTTTATTTACTAAAATAGAACTGTACAAATAAACACTTAATAGCATGTAATTTTATTAATTAATTTAATTGAATAGCTACATTTTGTTGCAGCGAATCACTTATAGAATAAGCACCTTGCACTATGGTACCATTTACCTGCGTCATATTATTAAAGCGATCCCGCTCTATTTCATATTTTAATTTCTTCGCTTGAAGCGCAGTTAAATACTTTTGCATACGATAATAACCAGCCTTTTCACGGAAATACTCAGTTTCCATTAGAATTCGTTCCTCATCTAGTTTCTGCAGTCTTTTACTGCTTATGCGAGGTCTGCGATCTTCTTCCTCTGATGCCCCGCCGCTAGATTGAGGCGAAAGTGGGTTTTGTATTGGGATTTCTTGCACTATCTATAATTGTTGATTTATATGTGAAAAAACTGTTTTTCTACTGTTTTCTATTGTTTAAAATTTACATTTCTATCGAAAGCATCTTCAGTGTAGTTTGATTGTTCTACTTCTTCTTCGATAAACTCGTCATAAAGTGATTCATCTTTCTTTGGACCACTGTCATCAATATTTTGAACCACCTGAAACTCTTCATACTTATTCCAGCTGTCATCTATCACATCTTCATCATCACTGGAAAACTACAAAGAAAATAGTTATACAGTCATTTCATTTTCAATTTGTAAGCTACTTAAAAAATACTTCTGAATTAAGACGGCGTTTCTTTGACTTCAAATGTTTAGCAGGTTCGATTGAATGTGATACAATTAAGTGCTTGCTTATTTCGTCTTCATCATCTTTATCAAAAATGGCTTCACACATATTACACTTTATTTTGTTCACATCGTAGTAGCTGGTATACTGCCATATGAGATTCGAGTCCATATTATGTAGAGATTGCTCTAAGTCGTCTTTATATATGCGGCCATTTGCTGCTACACCATGCATTCTATGTAAATGACGTTGAAGGTTACTCGTTCCTTGATAGGACAAATTTTTTTTGCAAATACCGCATCTAACCACATCTTTTCCAACACGCTTACAATATTTCCAAACAATGCTACAAGAATTTGATGATCTTCTGCCCCGCTTTGGTGAATTTTCTTCTTGAAATTCTTCCACTACTAAATTTTCAGTCGACACATTTAGCTCAATATCTCCATTCGCCGCCTTAAATTGTACAAACATTTATTATTATGATATATTCCAATTAATAACATGTTTTAAGGATATATTGCGTACACTATCATTGTCCATTTTGCCTAAAATATTGTGTTTGCGTTGAAGGTGTGTTATGACATTAGCCGTACCGTGAAAACTCATTACTTTACTACATAATTTACAACGTATCATGTGACGGGATAATTTATCGCAATAATTCCAAACATAACTTCCTCCTTTGCGTTCCTTACGTTTTAGCAACGTACTACAATCGGCTTGGTTCAATTCCTCCATTTCCAGATTTGTTTCTTTTGAATCACTGATATTGGCAATAGCTAGATTCGTCTCGTCCATTAGTGCCTAAATTATGAAACTTAATAGAACAATATAATTGCAATATGCAGCTATACTTTTTCAATTTCTTCCGAATGCTTTCTACGTAAGTGTTTTGCTATATTTGTTGTATTGCCGCCGCCGAAATACAGCAAATTTGAGCACAAATTGCAACGGGCGTGTTTACTGTTTACTTTGACGCAGAATTTCCAGACGATGCTATTAATCGGTCGTCCGCGGCGTAAGGTTTCCAGACCATTCTTTAAATACATAAAAAATTTTATATTTTATATATTTCTCTATAGCTTATATAAAAGAACCTACCGTGTCCCTAGTTATATCATGCGTACAAGATAAGTGGCGAGCTAAATTACTAGTCTGTTTTCCCACACAAGCGTTGCACACAATGCATTCAAAAACGTTTGTACCTTTTATAGGCCGAAAGTAATCCCAAACAAAACTTTTACGATTCGCTGTGCTGCTAGAATCTGCTAAATCTGTCACTACTTCAATATCTGCTGAAATACCATCCGTCGTGACTAAAGCAATATATTCCATTTGAATCCGTTTAACGGCAATTGTTTCGTTTATTTACATTAACTTTGTAATTACCTCCTACAATATATAAACAAGTAATCGAAACAGAAAAGTTAAGTAACTGTACCTTTTCTCATGCGGTTATTCTCAAAAATTTAGTAAATGAAGCATCAAAGACAAATTATTTGCAAATACACCATCAATAACCAGTGTTCACAGCAAGCAAGCATATAAAAAATAGTACTAAAAAATACATTCTTTCTGAAGTGCAAAAAAAGTACACAAAATAATTTTGATTTCGATTAATTCTCAATAGCGGAAACTTGGCGTCCAAACATGTTTTTATTGCGTTCACATATATGCGTATCAAGTTAAGCAAGAACTGTAATATTCGTTATGCGGAAATTAAGAGTTGTAATTATACTCTACTCTCTTTCTAGTCTAGTTAACTTACTTGAGATTCAAGTAATTCAAGTAATTAGTAGTAAGCTAATTGGTCTAACGAAGCCACTGGAAACATATTAGGTCTGTTTCACGAGCTACTCGTAGTAACTTTGAGTAACACTGTGTATACACAAATGCGTTCCACCAGAAAATTTTCGAGTAAATGAGAGCATCTGAGCATCATAGAGCGTAACATCCCTATCGAAATTTGAAAATCTACATAGAATTTACTTGTACATTTTATTTCAAGTAAAATTTGTGTTGATATATGAATCAGCTGTTTTGGTTTGAATTTAAATATTTGTATTGGTTATTTGCACGGCACTGGTCTCACCAGACTTTACATAAAGCTTTTCCATGAAAATCTGTGTAAAGAGCGTAATTTGGCACTTTATTTGTGTTACGCTCTCAGTTTGTACTTTACTTGTGTGGTACTTGAGTTTTACTACAAGTAGCTCGTTGAACAGGCCTATTATAACAGATTTTAAGTGTCAAATTACCTATATGGTAAATATAATCAATTTCACATTTTCAAATATTATTTTTTTTGAAAAATTTAATACTATTTTATATTTTTTCGAAAAAGTACTAAAATAGGAACGTTCGTCTTGCTTTAAGAATAGTGTTTGTTTGTTTGTTTGAAAATAAATTACATACTACTAATTAGTAAAATATTTAAGCTTTAAAAAATTAGAAACGTTAAGTTTATCATTTTTTTTTGAGGAATTTAATGCTAATTAAAATTTTTGAGAAAAGTACTAAAATAGGAACGCTCTTCTTGCTTTAAGAACAGTGTTTGTTTATTTAAAAATATTTTACTTACTACTAATTGGTAAAATAATTAAGCTTTAAAAAATTGATGAATTCTTTTCATAGAAACTAAAAATATAAAAAATGAATTGAACTCAGGATAATATACTACACTTTTTGTAGAACGACACGCGAATACTGGTTGTTGTCTGAAACTCGATTATGCGTATAAACAAATGTTGAGCGATTTGTTTATGTTTTGAGGATTGAACTATTATTGTTGCCAATTAATTAATGGAAATATTTCCAGCGTTTGTGACATGAGTTCGGACACAGAAGAACATTTTTCGGTGAAAAAGCGTGTAAGTAAAGTGTGGACATACTTTGATAAAATTAATCAACAAAGGGTCCGATGCCGCATCTGTGAACATGAACAGAATTATCAAGTTTGTATTTATTTATTAGTATAATTGTATGCGTTATTATTTATTATTGTTTTGCCTCCTTAGGGAACAACGGGAAATTTATTACGGCATTTAAAATCCAAGCATAAGATAGACGCAACAGTTAAACTTCCAAATGAAATGTCTACGTTCCTTAAGATAAAGTCGGAAGATATGAATAATGTAAGGCTGAAAATTATACACAGATATAAAATTCCACTTATTATAACATAATGTATTTAGAAAGAAACTGGCAATGAGAAAGATGTTAGAATGACAACTCGCAGTGCTAAAGAAGCGAAAATAAATCTCAGGTCAAACTCTGATGAACTCAATGATAATGATAACATTGATCCATATCCAGAAACAGCAATTGTACGTATTAGTATTTTAAATATGATTTTATGTTATTTTTATTAAGTAATTTCATTTCGCATAGATATTTGAAGGATATATTGAGTCAAATGAAACAAACAATGACGTTAAAAAGAAATTAGATTTTATGGAACAAAATAAAATCGACGATAAAAATGTTAAATATACTATCGAAGAGAAACGTGTGCAAGCAGAAATCGAATATTTTCGTGAAAAAGCTGCATTCTATAGAATGCAAAAAAATTTAGCTGCTTTGAAAGCGAAAAAAATAAAATATGAACTTGAACAATATAATTAACAAAAATATATATATACATTTTTTATTTGTTTAGGCATTAATTTTTGTTTCTGGTACTTAAAAATGTTCCTTTCCATACATACTGTTTTCTACTGCCTTACGGAATTTGCAGTGTCAAAGCACAAGGCTAACCTTTTAAAAGATAAACGAATAAATGAAGTTATCTGAATACATACATCGAAAGAAGTGTACTTAAATATACTTGTTGTACAGTTTTAATTCTAATTAACTTAGTTGCCATGACATTAGAATACTTGAAATATTAACATTAGTTTTTATTTTACATTTAAAATAAAATCATCTAAATATCAACACAAAATTTGGCTGTTTATTTAAATTTAGGAAATAAATGAAGATTTCGAGATCATAAGAGATCCATAATAGAGAAGTAATGGCTACTAATTCGAACAAAGAGGAGTTAAACAACATTATGGAGGAGCCTGATGCAGTTATTGGTGCCTCTGGTGACGATCTTGCACTTGAGCTGGACGCTTATAATAGTGGTACAGTTGACGTGGCGAATAACACTTTTCGGGAACTTTGTAAAACATTGGAATATGAACAAATTAAATTGAGGGAGCTTGAAGCCAGGCGTTGTAGATTACAGGAAGAAGTGGATCTGTTAAAGAAGGAAATTGATGAAGAAAAGCTCTTATATAGTAAGAGCTTGGAAGAATTCAATATTACCCCTATGAATTGCATTGGTGATGCTGCAGGTATGTGTCACACAATAAATAAACTCTCAATTTATAGAATTTATATATTTAGGTGTTTCCAAAGCGTTATGTTCAAGTGAAAAGGAATCCGATAATATTTCTGGTGACGTAGCAGCTTTGGACCTTCAAATATCTGATGCGAGCGGAAAAGACTTTATGATGTCATCAACTGACCTAGCAGACCGTGAAAACTTTCAAGATGAGGAGGAGTGAGCAGTCACTATCACTATTAGCATAATTCGTTTCGTTGACAGTTTTTTGGATTTAGTTTTGAAATTAAAAGTTTACATAAAAAAGTCAAGTTTTATTAATTTAAGTAAAGACTGTTGAATACATAGCAACTTTTCGTTGATTTCACATGAAGAGTTTTGGAGGTGATGTAAAAAAGTAGTTAGTAAAGCCTTGATCAGCTAAAAATAATTTTATATAAATTTTATTTTCTTGTAATTAAAAAATGCATTTACCTGAGCAATTTTTTCGTCTTTTTCATTCAAAACCATAACCTCCATAAGAACTGTTATAAATTTCTCAAAAAATGTTATTAAATGAAGTTCAACGATTGACAATGGTATTGCCAATATATAAACCATGTAACAACGATGTATTTCCTAGAAATAATAATAACGTATCTCAAGCTAAAAATAATTATTAATAATTACCTCTAATAGCTGAACGCATAGATCTTGTTTGCTTAATAGCTTGTAGGATTCAACAACGAATAATTCCAAAATAGATTTCGCCCACCGCAGTGTTGTTCTCGAGTTGTTATTACGACAACAAGATCTGCACTCATCCAGCTCTTTTTCATTTTTGAAATCTACAGCAATAGCTCTTTCAATATCTGCACAGTTAGTTGAGAAGAAATAACCCAGTTTTGTCACGGATCTTAGAAGGCTTAGGGAAATTAAGTCATTGGCATTAATTGGTATATTCCGCATTAAGACCTCAATCATGTCATCAACATAACTCCACTAAAAATAAAATTTAAATATGTGACTAATTACGGGCATGAATTACATGCCAACACTCACGTTGGTGCTATCAATGTTCTCATAAAATTTCACGCAAATAGATAGACATGTCCATATGTCGGTCGTAGCTTCCTCTGAGCTCATATAATGTACATCTTTATATACAGCATCATATATAACGCTATGAATATTAGTGTCCTTTATCTTTGACGGCTCCTTCGATTACAATTACAAAATATACATTAACTTTCATGCGAGTGTTGTTATTCCTTTCACTTACGCTAAACTGCAACAATGCCTTAAATATTTTTAAGCTTATGTGTTTAAAGACGGTCTCAACGCTTTCACGCAGCCTTAGTCCTATTGCAAGGCAAAAATTCATCCAATTCATTTTCATTTTGTTCTCTTGACTGTAACGAAACTAATAACCTTTTCATCAATTTTAAGTTTTAATAAAAATACAATAATTGTATTTTACTTCAATATATCTTAAAAAGCCATTTATAGCACCATATTGAGTTTTCCACACATTCTGTTCTAACTTAGCCTGGTAGTACGAAAAAATTTTATCTTCTACTTCCGGTTCCATGGGTTTATGGGAATTAAGTAATAAGTTTGCGTGACGCACCATTTCTTCATTAGAAATTTTGTGGTAAGTATTGCTTGCCGTAACTTCACATAGCAGAAGTATAAGATAAGTATCAAACTGCAAAGTTGTGAAATATATACATGAATTAAAGAATATAGATATATAAATAAAACGTTCACCTCAAGTTTTTCTTCGGTACTTGTCCAATAATCTCTGGGTTGTTCCGATAGAAACTTAAAGAGTACTCTCAAATTAAGTTCCACGATTTTGACGTACTCTTCAAAGTGCTCCGGAGTTATTGGTATGTCATCGAAGTTTTGTTTGAGCTCTGGTAATAGACTGGCCTTTACCAGTTCTACCACATTCATTTTAAAATGCAGACAGCTCCTTTTTGGAGAACCGGCAAATGTACTGAACAAAATATTTACAAATATTTTATGCGGCACTGCCAGGCAAATATTTTTTTAAAAAGTCAAGTTAATTATTAGGTCTGCTCCACGAGATACTCGTAGTAAAACTCAAGTAAAACACAAGTAAAGTACAGACTGAGAGCGTAACACAAATAAAGTGTCAAATATCGCTCTGTACACAGATTTTCACGGAAAAGCTTTGTGCATAGTCTGGTTAGAACACCAGTGCCGCGCAAATAAACAATACAAACATTTGAATTCAAACCAAAACAGCTGATTCACACATCAACACAAATTTCAATTGAAATAAAATGTACAAGTAAATTCTATGTAGATTTTCAAATTTCGATAGGGCCCAGTAGAAAAAGTGGTCTTCGAAGACATGGTCTTCGAGACGGTCTTCGAGACATGTACACAAAAATTCATTGAAGACATTTGGCTAATTTGTATGAAAGTGTCTTCGAAGACCGTCATACATTTGGATCGATCGGTCTTCATGTATGTATCCATGTCTTGAAGACGTCTTCGATGACGGATCGATCCGTTTTCTACTGGGGGATGTTACGCTCTGTCAGATGCTCTCATATACTCGAAAATTTGCTGGTGGAACGCACTTGTGTGTATACATTGTTATTCAAATTACTACGAGTAGCTCGTGAAACAGACATATTGTGTGATAATAATAACACTTCAAAAGTAGTTCATAGGGGGAATTGCAAATGACAATATGCTACACCATATTTACACTTAACACCTTGAGTACCTTTACTTTGAGTAATTTTTATGAAAATGATATCAAACGAACCATTAAGATTGTGCGCTTTTTATAAAAGCAATAGAATTATTTTTACTAATAGTAAAGAGATAAGTTTGTGCTTTCAAGACTAATACTAAGAGTTTAGTAAGTAAGAGTTTCTTAATTTATCGCTATTACAGATATACTTTTATAACACAATGATCCTAACAAAGAGTACATAAAATAGATATATAATTCATTAGATTATTTGAGACAATAACTATTAAGTTGTCTGTCTATAAGGGTATTAATACTAATACTATAAGGATATTTATTCACTCTGTCTTACAAAGTCATTGCAAGGTGCTCGAATTACACAGATAACGAGAGCTTGTAGGGGTCCTAAACTCATGTATATATGCTTTACAACGAAACAAAAAAAAAAAAATTGCTATGTATGTATTTTGATTTCTGTTGCCTCTTCCGTGGATGTGGTATGCTGGAAAAACAGCTGTTTCATTTTAATGTCGCAATCCTGCAACAGGGGTTTCTCGCACTCTTGGAATTTTAGTATACAATTCTTGCATTTTGTGGACCTTACAATGTCTTTGAAAGACAAAGTGAATACTTATGTTAGTAAACCTCAATTAGCGATAATTGCGCATAGCGATTCAAAAAATGAAAGGGAATAGGATATATAAAATATTTATTTGTAAATATTTATTTATAATATAAGATAAAGAATACTGGTTTGGGATAGAGACGAGTTTGGTCCTGAGAAGAAACTATACTGTGGCGAATTGAAGAGATCTGACTACTTTAATGGGTCACAGTTTTAGATCAATGAGGTTGAAATAAGTGTATAAATTTGGGCAAAAGACTATGCGGGTGACGTCATGGACAACAAATTGTTTAACTCGAGTCTATACCATGACATAGCTTGATTTCAAACATAATACTACTTTTGGCATTACTTGTGTTGATGAAATTTTAAAATCTGTCAATGATTTTTTACCTCGAAACATTCCAAGAAACTAGATCTGTGTGTTAATACCATAACTGTCTACTGTTTGATTTGATCCATTAGTTTAATGTATCATAATATATATAAGTATTTAACACTACATAATTTCTGACGCGATATCTTTTGTAATTTTAAAAGTTTCGACTTTTTTAGTGTAACAACACTTACCCGGCTAGATCGGTGAATGATGTCACAAGTGATTTTTATCGTAAATAATAACACTGCTTTTATTAACAAATTATATAGTTTTAACTAGTATTGAACCACTTGCGTTTAATATGCGTACATTACGATAAATCAAAATTAATATAACAATAAATATAACAAAAAAAATATTTTGTTAAGAAATAAATGGAATTGCATGAAACTTGAATAAGATTGTAACATATTAAACTAATACTTATTCGTATCTTACATAATTTAATTACATTTAACTGTGTTTCTGGATAATTTTGAACTAGAGTTGGGAAGATTATAATTACAATTATTCATAGTAAGTAATAAGTTATTTACTGAACATCCAAATATTTAAACACATGTACATTGATAGGGAGTGAAAACAAAAAAAAATATGACAGAACATTTGTTTTCACTAATAAGTAAGGGACTTTAGTTGTCCTTCTTAATTCTAGTTGATGTCATACGGTAAATTATAGAATCCCTGCCGGGATCCATTGAACCAATAGCATAGCAGATTGCGAGTAATGCAAATCCAAATGTAACCATAAACCACAGGATGATATTGAAGATGACTGGGTAGTCCTGGTTGTAGTATTCTGCCAGATTATATTTGTTCTAAAAATGAATATTTATTAATGAAGAAATCGAATTTGACTATTCAATAAACAATTCCTACGTCAGTATTAGTGACTGCTTCACGTTTAGCGCGGACAACGGTATTTTTGCTTGCAATTGCTACTACCAAAGCTTCGTTGTTGCTTGATTTTTGTGCGGCGGTATTTAGATTTGAAATAGTAGAAGAAATTAATTTGGTAGCTTCAGCCATAGCTTCAGATTTTACACCATGAGCTTTGGCAATTGAATCTAAAGGCAAACGTATAAGTACGAAATTACTTGGTTTTTGCATAGAAGATAAATGTTCCGCAGCGGAATTAATAAGGCCAATTGTCTGTAAAAATTGCTTGTCTGCAGTGTGCAAAGCTGGATTGAGGTACTTCGTATCTTTTACTGTTGAGGTATCAGTGTTTTCTCCAAAGCAAGAATTGTATGCACCCACCTGAGTAAATACAAAATCTAATCATGTGTCTTTAAATACAAAATTAATTGCAATACATACAGCGTCATCAAAGCGATTGAAATCGATATAACAGATTGGTACATTATTTGCTTCTAGATCAGTAGCAAGTAGGTTCAGTGATTCACCACTTTCGTCACCTTGTAATCCATAAGTTTTTGCTTCAGAACTTACTGGTATGCTGTCAACACCTTCTACTAATACGGTTATAACGCCTTTTGCCAAAGTGAATGGATCCTTTATGATTAGACCTGACCATTTCGAAACACCAGTTATAGGATATCCCACTGATGCTGAAAACACCTCGTTGACATATGCGCTCTGTAGAATGTCATTACCTTTAAATGACAAAGACTTCGGACTGCTCAATACGGAAAATTCTCCAGAGGCGCAAGCTGAAAAGAAATATTTTATTTTTAAAACGAATTATGCTGCACAGCTCAGCTGATAAGAAATTTTTGTAACCATTCAACACAAAAAATGGTACCTAATGAAAAAATCAATAAACGTATCTGTACACAATTATTTTCTTTGTTGCACTTGCAATCTCTTTTTAATCCGATTTTATTGAAGTTTATATATGCATTTATAAATTAATAAACTTACCTGCCACTACACACAATGAAAATATTAACAAATTTCGCAGCATTTTTCAGCAATCATATGACAAACGAGAGTAGATGGAAAAGTCGAATGAATGAAATTATATCAAAATAGTTTTGAAGGTATTGGATGGTCACATGACTTAAAGTTTGAATGCTGTTGTGAAGTATTGCTTTCCGAATTTTTTAATTAAAAATTAACGTAATTGTTTTTTTATGTGAATTTAATTTAATTTAAATTTGAAGTTGATAATTAATAGAAAAATATATATTTTTAAATAATAAAAATTGATATGACATGGTATAAATATTTATTTATTATATTGGAATTGTTATCTTAACGTTATTCACCACTTTACAAATGTCAGGAATCGAAAAAAAAATAAATCGTATTCACCTTACAATATTTTGACAACTGTCAATGTACATTGCCAAGCTCGTAATATTTATATTAAAATATAAATAATAAAATTAAATAAAACATTTTTACTGATTTACTGCATTATACGTTGCAATTTTATACAAGTAATTTTATTTATATTGTTCAAAATGTCGATTGAAATTGAATCTGCTGAGTAATTTTTTTCATTCTTAAAAATTTGGAGGGATTTAAAACATTTTTTTATTTCAGCGTAATTCGACTAATTCAACAATTTTTAAAGGAATCGAATTTATTTAAAACCCTACAAACATTGCAGGTATATCCACAATTTGTAATAATTTTTTAGAGTCGCGTTTTTAAGATTGTATTTTTCAGGAGGAAACCGGCGTATCGTTAAATACAGTAGATAGTGTTGAAGGGTTTGTTCAGGACATTACCAATGGTCACTGGGATACAGTACTTCGCGTAACGCAATCATTAAAATTGCCCGATAAAAAACTACTGAATTTGTACGAGCAAATTGTGCTAGAGCTAATTGAATTGCGAGAATTGGGTGCTGCACGTTCTTTGTTGCGACAGACTGAGCCCATGGTAATGTTAAAACAACTGGAGCCAGAACGTTATATACATTTAGGTATTGACATAGTAGTACATAGTTCCTTTTTTAACTATTTAATTTATATGCAATTACTATTTCCATCTAATAGAAAATATGTTGCAACGAGCTTATTTTGACCCGCGTGAAGCATATGCCGAAGGAAGTAGTAAGGAAAAGCGTCGTGCTACAATTGCACAAGAATTAAGCGGTGAAGTACATGTTGTGCCATCATCTCGTTTGTTAGCTCTACTAGGTCAAGCACTCAAGTGGCAACAACATCAAGGTTTACTTCCTCCTGGTACAACGATAGATTTATTCCGTGGTAAAGCGGCTATGAAAGATCAAGAAGAGGAAATGTATCCTACGCAAATGTTTCGGCAAATAAAATTTGGGCAGAAGTCACATGTTGAGTGTGCACAATTCTCACCTGACGGACAATATCTAATAACTGGTAGTGTCGACGGTTTTCTTGAAGTTTGGAATTTTACAACAGGCAAAATACGTAAAGATTTAAAATATCAAGCACAGGATCAATTCATGATGATGGAACAAGCTGTATTGGCTTTATCTTTTTCGCGTGATTCAGAAATGATAGCATCCGGTGCACAAGACGGACAAATCAAAGTGTGGCGTATAATAACTGGACAATGCCTGCGAAAATTTGAAAAAGCCCACACGAAGGGTATTACCTGTTTACAATTCTCCCGAGATAACAGCCAAGTGTTGAGTGCATCTTTTGACTATTCAATACGCCTACATGGTTTAAAGTCGGGGAAAATGCTTAAAGAATTTAGAGGTACACAAATATTTTATATTATGTCTATTAAAAATGCTATAATTAATTGCTTGTTTTCAGGACACATATCATTTGTAAATGAGGTAACATTTACGCCTGATGGACATAATATATTAAGTGCGTCTTCTGATGGAACTGTTAAAATTTGGTCATTAAAAACAACTGAATGCATTTCCACATATAAACCATTAGGAAATGAGCTGGCGGTAAATACCGTACTTATATTGCCAAAGAATCCGGAACATTTTATCGTATGTAATCGTTCCAATACAGTAGTCATAATGAATATGCAAGGACAAATAGTACGCTCATTCTCATCGGGTAAGCGTGAAGGTGGCGCATTTATTTCTGCAACGCTATCACCGAGAGGAGAGTTTATATATTGTGCTGGTGAGGATCAAGTGCTTTATTGTTTTTCAGTCTCCTCCGGCAAATTGGAACGTACATTAAATGTATGTATACTATACTTAAATCTAATGTAGTGTGCGCTTGGTATATAAAAATATGTAATAAATTTGTTTTTAGGTGCATGAAAAAGATGTCATTGGCCTAACGCATCACCCTCATCAAAATCTTTTGGCCACATATAGTGAAGATGGTCTATTAAAGCTATGGAAACCATAAATGAATATCTAAATAATTATACGCAATAAGTTTTTAATTTTAATTATTATTTCATGTCTAATTTATGCGCCACCAGAATTTTGAATTTTTTTTTGAATTTTTGTTTATTTTATACTTAGTATGTAATTTTTAGTTTTTAAGCAATCAATAACGCAGATGCCAGAATGTTCATTCACATTCACATTCACACTCATATTTACATATAGATTTATACTCAATATTGTGACAGTTCAGTTACATATGCAAGTAAATTGATTTTAATTAAAAATTATGCAAAACGCCAAGATGAAATTAGTTTTAGTTGCTTAAATGTAATTGCTGATTCTCATGGATGGATTAAAGGTGTACCTCAACTGAAAGACAGTCGTTGGTTGCAGTGCATTTGAGTTGAGGTTTGAGGTTTGCTTGTATTTTACTGATAATTCAGTTTAGTGCTGCAGAATACTTGGACGGTGCAAGTTTAAAATATGAAAAGCGATCAAATTATTGAGAAGATACGGAACAAATTGCAGGAATCAAATCCTGAGAATCGTTCTGTGATGAAAATATTTCAATTCAACTTTACAGATGAGCATGGCAAGCTTATTAAGAGCGTAGGTATGCTAAATGAATGGATTGAATTCAATATGTTAAGGTCTCTTTGATAAGTAAATACACAAAAGTTGATAAATTTGAATTTCCGCAGTTTTTGATTTTAAAGACTTAAACATATATGAAGGCAGCACTAAAGAACACGATGGTGAAATCACTGTAGCGGATGATGACTTCTATATGGTGGGTAGTAAGCAAACGACATTTGATGAGTTACTTGCCAAAGTGAGTTTGATTATTAATGAAACTGCATTTATTTCGTAAAGTATAAAAGTCTCATTAATTACAGAATAAAGCTCAAATACAGGGTGATACTGAAGCCATCAACAAAATGCTAGAAAAATTTCGTTTGAATACCAAAAACTAAAAATTAGTGGAGCTTTCTTCATAACATACAATAACGAGAGATAAGCACTTTGAATTTTCATGCATTTGCTGGTTGATATATTAGTGATTATTATTATAGATTTCCGCTTTGAATTACACATAAATTCAATACTTGCACAGCATTTTTGTTATATAATTTATAAAAATCATATACAATTAAAATTATAGCTTTAATAGCTGAGAAGTAGAAATGAAAAAATATTGTATTACTTTAATTACTTATTTAATAAGTTTAGATAAGGTTAATCTGGATGGTCATAAGTCACGCATAGATCTATTGTTAATTACATAGAGTAAGAAGTTTTCAGATAAAATAATGCATCTGACTGTACTGTTGCTTACCATTCAATCATATCATGATGTATTAAATGAATAGCCATTTTTTTAGTTCTTTGCTTCATTTTAGGGGGTGAGCATTCAATTCCCTCTAGACATACCCTTCATCATGTGCTTGGGTATGGTTCATATGAATTTTAAAGTATTTAGTTAAGCATGAGTACAAGTACAAGTTATTGAAAGGAATCTAGAAAATATTAATATACTATTCGTAATATTCGTAAATCACAACATTTTAATCGTCAGTCCATGTAACATTTGAGTTACTTAAGTATCGGTTTATTTTGGTCCTAAAGTTATATAAAAAAATGGAAGTTTTATTCTCCACCAGAAGGTTTCTTACTTAAATTTAAAGTTAATTCAATTAGCTTAAGCACAAATGTCAAACAACATACTTGGCTCCAAATTCAGTTGGCTCAAAGAATGAGTTGACCAACATATGGCACTTAGTGGTGTAGAAAAGCTGGTGGCTCTAATCCAATTATCTCTGTACACTCAACATTGAACCAATTTCTTTCTAAGGAGCTGGATTTTGGTGTAGAGCCACTCAAAAGCGAACTACATAAAACTGTAGCTCTACATTACATCACCACGAAATATACGAGGGCGATTTGATAAGTCAGTGACTTTTTGAATTTTCTGCTCAGTTACTCCAAATGCAACAGTACTGCTGTTAGCTGTAATCTACCAGTGGGCAACTTTCTAATTTTGAGCAAGCTACGTCATTCAGTTGGTGTTTGATAGCCGTTCAAAGCAGACAACCTTGTGAATTTTTACGAAAATGGAACAAAGTGTATTTCGTGTGCTGATTAAGCATTACTGGCCAAAATCCACGAATTGAGATACGAACTGTTACCCCATCCAGCATATTCTCCAGATTTAGCCTAGCCCCCTGCGACTATTTTCTGTTTCCAAACCTAAAGAAATGGCTGGGCGGTAAGAGATTTCAGTCGAAGGAAGAAGTCATTACCGAAACAAACGCGTATTTTGAGAGCTTTGAGAAAACCTATTATTTGGAGGGAATAAGAAAATTAGAAAAACGCTGGATTATATGTATCGAGCTAAAAGGCGATTATGTAAAAAAATAAAATGTTTACCTACCTTAACTTTTAAGTTCTTACCATTTGTTAGAGATATTGTTTCGAATGTGGCGCAGTACTTCAGGATCTCAGGACCCGAAGCATAGTCTCATAATGAAAACAAACAATATTTCCATAAATTTTTATGTTTTATTTTTGTGTTAGTTTTAAAACAGAAATTATAGTTACAATGGCTTGAAATTAATCTAATCAACATTTCATATATGCAAATAATAATTTCAATTTTTTTCAAAACATTTGTAGTTAATTGTTGTGATCTAAAATTAATTGTTAACAACTTCCATGAAGTAGAGGAGGAAATAATATTTTTAGAATTAGTTTTAAAACAAAAAACGTTCAAAGTGTTCAATTAATACATAATATAATATTTATATATTCTTAAATATTTTTAAATAATATTCAAATTGTTTTAAAATAAAATAGAATTATTAATTTTTTCTTATTGTTATTAATATTTAATGTTAACATGAAATTATTTTTGTAGGTGTTTTTAGTACATTTTAGTTAAATATATTTTTAAATTTAATGCAATTTTAATGTTTTATTTATTTTAATTTTAATATTTATATTTTTTAATTTAGCATGCTTTTGTTTTGAGCGTTCCTTAATTACATATATAACGCGTTCTTTGTTTTACTTTGTTTTTTACTTAAATATATTTTTTCGTACTGCTTTGATTTTTTGCTGAATTCATCTTGGCTTTTAATGTATATATATATTTTTAATTATTATTTATTGCTAAAACACAAATTTCACGTTTAACATCAACAAAACAATTTACATACTAATTTTTAGTTATTTTTTTTTTAGTATTATTACTTTAATTTTTTTATTTATTTTTACGGTTTTTAATAAAATTTTATAACAACAATTTCAATTTATTTATTTTGGTAACACCTACTTTTAAATTTAATTTTAATTATTTGTTTTTTTTTTCAATAATTTTAGTATAATTTTATTTAATTTCATTTTTTAATTGCAAAATGTACGTGCGCTATGAAACCAATAATTTTATTTAATTAAATTTTTATTCTTTTAAAATTATTTTTCGGTTTGAATGCTTTAATTTAAAAAATCAAGAAATCAAATAAAAAAATATACAATATATATATACTAAACTGGTTAAAAGAATGCTCATTAAATACATACATACAAATAAATTTAGTGTCGATATATAACATATATATCAACCGTTTTGCATTTTAAAATATTTTCCTTTGTTTTCCTTTTTGACTTTTTCTTCTTTATAATTTGTTAATACGTGCCTTGATTTTGTTTATTCTTATTTTTATTTAAATTTAATTTAATTTAAAAATTTGTTTTGCTACCAACATTTATTTGCCTTTATGTTTAACTTTAGTTTATTAACTCATTTTTATTTTGTTTATTTTGTTTATTTTGTTTATGTACGTGTCGTTTTAATTAACACTTAACATTATCTTATCTTTATATATAAATTATGTATAAATCCTTTTTAATCAATATTATAATCATTTATAATTCTCTGGTGTCTTAATTACTTTGTGGGAGATTGAAGCAGAAATATCACTGGCCTTATTTATATGTGTATATAATCACACACTTCAAATTATTATGTTAGGTTAGGTTGTAAAGGCTAGAAATTCTAGAAAGAAATCCTAGAAATCTACTTAGAGTTTTCGCCCATTGTGCATAAATCCAACGTATTGAAGTAGATGTGCTTTAAATCACCTGGAACTTTTTATAATACTTGAAATAATCTTTAAAGATCAAAAAAGTAAGTCCCTAAGTTAGGTTAAGTTGAATTGACGGCCTCGCACACGAAAGCCCACATCAAACGTATTAAAGTAGATGTGCTTTAAAGATGTACTTGATGTTACGATTGAGTTTGCTTTAAGAATGAATGTTTATGCTTCAGCCAGAAAAAATGGCATCTTTCTGGAATCTGGAACTATTAATATCACTAATTGACGTTAGTGGAAAAGACTGACACATCTAGTACAGAATACATCCAAACCGACATAAGGTTATTATCAGAAATTAAGTAATGAATCGATTTGTCGTAAGAAATGTTTAGGGAATAGCAGATCTTAGAGAACTTATCATCGTGAATGTAATCATGCTACGGAACACTTTATGTGGCCTTTTACAATAATAAAGGATCTCAAATAATTCAAGTAATGCCCGCGCAGAAATCAACTGAAATAAAATGCATGGCGGGTGCTGTATAGAATGCTCTTGGGGTAGATTGAACTTGAAGGTCCTGTGCACACCAGTGGCAAAACCGATTTGTGTTGCCACTTTACTGTTTGATAACCGGTACATATTAGTGACAAAAAACATATTAGAGTGTCGCCATTCTACCACTTGAGAGGGGAAAAATATATGTAACTGCACACAACTGTGTCTCTGGTTAGTGTATAGACTGCTCAATAAGATCTAATGTATATCATAACCATTTAAGCAACACAGTGGCGGCACCAAACTTTTTGTCGCTAATTTGCACCGGGTCTGAGCGTTGTAAATATATGCAACTGCATGCAGTTGAACTGTCGGTTGGTGTAGTCTCTCCAATATGACCTAATGCATCTAATAAGAGTTTAAGCGGCAATATGACGACACCGTTTGTTTATTGCTGGAAATTTGTCCCAGGCCTAATGTATCTAATAATAATTTAAGCGGCAAAATGGCGACACTGATTTTTATTGCTGGAAATTTGTCCCAGGCCTAATGTATCTAATAATAATTTAAGCGACACTGATTTTTAATGCTGGAAGTTTGCTCTGGGCCTGGGTGGCAGTTGTGTTCTTCGCGGGACATTAGTTATTGAGTGTGAATATTTACATATAGACGAAGCCAAGTGAAGGAAATGTAGGAGTATGCATTGCTAGCATTGCTAGGGAGTATGTACCCTAATGTTAGCTTTGAATCCATATATTTCAAAAGTTCGAAAATTAATTTCCGTTTATAGATTTAGTTCTATAGATTTTTACGAGTAATCATTTCTAGAATTCAATTCTTTGACTTTTTAAACATTTCCGCGGAATTGCATATACATTTATTGTTTTAGTTTGTTTTTGTTTTTAGTTTGTTAGCAATTATTTTAATATCATTCTTATCTGCTTTAATGTTGAGTTTACTTGAGTTTACTTGAGTTTTAAGATCCATTTTTTAATATAATATTTTAATAAATTGATTTAAACTTTATAACTAACTTCAATATAGCTTTTTAAATTTGGAAGATGCTTTTTTGATAGTCACTAATTGTGTATATATTTTTATTTTTTCGTAATTGGTTTAGAGTGTATAAGGTTTTTGCTTTAATTTAGAATTTCTTGTATTATTTTTAATTATATGTATTTTTATTGGAATTTTTATATTTTTATTTAATTGGTTTCCATTTAGTTTTTTGAGCATATTTAGAATAATTGTGAGTTATGGTTTCACAAAATGTTCGCATTTGTAAAAAAATGTGTAAATAAAATTTTGTTAAATTTTTTATTTTAGTTCATTTCTTATTGTATTGGTTTTTCTCATTCGTTTTATTATTTATTATATAATATGTATATATATTTTTTTTAATATTGTTTCATTATAATTTCTATTTTACCTAAATATATAATATTATTCGTATCAAATATAAAAATCAACAACTTTTTTCCATTTTGCAATGAAGTCATTTTTTTTTTTTTTGGTTTTATGCGTATTAAAAATGTATAATGTTTAATTATTTTTATTATTTTATTATTTATTATATATTATTTATAATAACGATTCTTCACTGACTGAATTTTATAAGTGCTTTATTTTATGTTACTTTCACTTTGTTTTCATATATATAATATTTTGTTATATTTAGTTTTTTCTTTGTTTTGCAATTTTTGTCTACTTTCTTTGTTAACTCTTGAAATACATTTCCCAAATATTATTTCCCAAAAATAATATTTCACATATATTTATGTATTGTGTATAACCTCTCTATACCTATAATTCCTAAAAATTGCAGTTTTAAAATTTTTATTTTCATTTTCATTTTATGCTCGTTTAATGCTTACAATTTATTTATCATATAAATTAATTTACCTTAAAAACATATAATATTTATGTTTATTAAGATGTATGCTAAATTTTGAAAAAATCCTCTCACACCTTAACCCGCCCAGCTGCAATTCCTTGTTTCAATTTTTATTTTTATTTTTATTTTTATTTTTATTATATATATTTTTATTTAATATTTAAAATCTCCTTTCAATATTAAATATATATTTATTTTTGTTTATTATTTGTGCAGTTTTTTATGTTAGGAAGTTTCTATTATATTCTTGATTTGTTTTTAATATTAAAATCATATTTGAATATTTTTTTATTTTTTATTTACTAATTTAACTACAATAACGCATGCGAACGGTTTGGTTTTCTTCTTTCGTCAGCAGTGTTAACGTGTCGTTAAACATTTTCCAGATGATGATTGATATTTTCCATGTTTTCCTCATCACACAGATCGTTTATAAAAATTTCACGTTGCACATCATCGTCGTCGTCATCTAAGTCATCGTCATCTTCTCCATTCAGCATAAGACCACCGCCAATGTCTACACCGGCAATGCATATATGCGGCGGTGGTGGTACGCTGGTTGGCGGTAATGGAGCTGGGGGTATTATAAGGTTTCCGCTGTTGATGCCATGCAAGCTGCCGGACATGCTGCCACCGGCTTGTAAATGACGACGACTAGAACTTAAACCTACTAGGAGAGATGAGTTTATTAAAACTTGCGATCAATCATAGACTATAACAAGTCCATTATATTGAAAACAAAGCAGCTACTATAATAAAATTAAAAAAAAAAATATCACTTAAAACAAGAATAAATTTAATTAATCTATTTGGACAATTATTATTATTAATTATATTATTATATTATATTATATACAATATATTATATTATTATAATTATAATGATTATAATAACAATTATATTATTATTATTGTTATTAATTTTAAGCATTACTGATTTATAAGAAAACTCCACCTAAGTTAATGCTATATATGATATAAAAATATATATACTGTACTAGAGGTGGAGCACTATCGATAGCACTATCAACACTACCTCCATCGATGATAGTGCTAGACTATCGATGGTAGTCGATGGTTTGGAAAAAAACTATCGCTCACTATCGATGGTGCTGACTATCGATAGTTCTCCACCTTCTTAATGTACATTATTTTCTTAAAAGTGGTGCATAATTATTTTTTATAATTATTTTTTTATTTTTTTTATTTGAATTCTTTATTTGTAATAATACTACAGTGACAACAGAGCACATTATATATATAATAATTATAATTATATAACTTTTATATAACTTTTATAATTATAAAATGTTTTAAAAAATCTATTGTAAGACATAAAACTTATAATATATTTATAATATATATATATATATATATATATATTACATATATAGAATATTTACGAAAACTATCGACTAGGTTTAACTATCGACCAAGTAAACAAAAAGTAATAATAAGACTGCGTTTGGTCAATGTGTGGATATATTTTAATGAAAGGTAATATCAATATGACGTCACCAAAATTTATAATTATAAATTAGTTATAATTTACTACGTTATTTATAAATACCTTATATTGAAATAAAAAAGGATGACGGATAAATTAAATTAGAATTGTTTAAAAACTGAAAAGAAAAAAATTTAAGAAATTAAAATTATTATGTACATTTAAATAGTTTAAAGTGAATTAAAAACGAATTGACAATAACTAAAATACGCTAACTGAGATACATTTCCATCTTACAAATTTAGCAGTATTAACAAACTATCTTCTGTATAGAATATGGACTCAATTGTTTTAATCAGAAAGTTAGTAAGCTTAGTTTGTGTTTCGTTTTTGTTGGTTGAGCTATACTTAAAAGTCTGGAATTATTGTTCTAGTCATCAAATAAAAATCTTGTAGAAATCGAAAGTTTTTGAAAAATGCATAAAATAATTTTGGGTATTTTTAGTTATTGAAAGTAGTGAAGAATGTTTGACTAGAGATCGCCTTTATTCTTCTTATTAAAAATTCATACTGTTTAGGAAGTATGGTCCTCAGGGACCTCAAGATTGATTCCAACAAAAAATACATAAACGATAGAGCCCTGAAATTATTTGCGACAACTGACAGGCTTACCAACACCGCGTTATCGAATCTCAGAATGGTTACAGGCTTCTCGGGGAGGTATGCAGATCTGAGGTCAATTATTGCTTAGTCTGATGAAGTGTTAAACAATAATCTAATCCAGTCAAGGCGTAGAGTGGTGATATGAAGAAACCTCGCAGTTAATAGAGAGTAAAAGTGCTCAAGTGCACTCCCTCAACTAGCCTCAACATAATAATTAAAATTTCTTAATCCTTATTTTGAATGAACATTATATGTTCTCAAAACATACTGCATTAATTGTATTGATGTGAGGGACATATAAGATCTACAGTTAATTTTTAACATATTGTCATTTTCTTATTCTTAGACATTAAAATATGAAATTAAATGGTTATACCTAACATACTTAAAAATAATAAAAGGGATAATCAATTAAAAAAAAATATATATATATATATAATATTATTAAATTCTTTACCCGTTGCACTTGTTTGTGAATCGAAGCGTGTATTCCGATGCAATCCCAATTGTCTGATATGATTTCTACGTTTTCTTCTGGATTGACAAAGTGTGCATAGGAGACAAATTAGGAACGAGCCGCCGACTAGTGCTATTATAATTAGTACGCCGTGATCCTCCTCGGGCGCTTCCGTGATACCTTTAACATATATCGACGAAGATCGTAGTTCAAATATTTGGCGATTCCGTTTCCGTGGAAGAAAAAACGTTCACAATAAAATAAATAAAAAACAGAATAGAATTATTAAGAGAATTTCATTTTTCATATATATTATAATAATAATGCGCATATATGATACATATATATGTTCATATATTCGACTATTTTCAAGTTCATATATGTAAAGACATTTTTTTATTAATTATGAAACTATTTAGAATGAAGTCGAGTAATTAACTTTTTTCAGTTATAATAAATAAAATTTTTTTTTTATATATATAGTTATATATATAATCAGTATTAATGTGATACTGTGATATTGTGATCTTGTGATGCTGTGATGTTGTGTTGCTAAAAATCAAACAGCTCTGTTATGTTTAGTGCATTGAATGCATCCTGTGGTGTGGTTTTGGTGTTTCAGAACATTTCTTTAGAAACATATTTTAAATTTCACGGATATTAAACTTTTTTTTTAAGGTATTTTAAGGGTGCAAATATTATTTTTATTATAATTTAATCTGTTTAAGTGAAGTGCGGTACTCGTATGTTTCCAAAATCGATAAATCGTCCGATGTAAACTGTTTTATCACGACATTCATTTGAACAGATTAAATATTTATTTTTTAATAAAAGTGCTTCATCTAAACCTAATAAGTGCTTTAAAATTATTCAATTTAGTGCTTCATGCCCTACATAAGCATTATGTGATTGATCAAATAATGTATACAAAAATGGATATATATACTAAAGGTTATGTGAAAAATAACGAAATAAAGATTATTAAAAAAATAAATATAATATTACTTATGCCATAAGAGTTCTTTTTAAAACTGTTACTAGTTTAAACATTAAAGATAAAAATTAAATAAACCAAATAATTTTATATAGAAATTACTATATATAGTATAATAATATTTCAAAGTAGTTTTGATATAAATTATAATATAACTGAGCCTATGTAGATAGTCACAAATGATGTCTATAAGACTTTTTCAAAATTAATTGATGAAAGTATACATTTAAATTAACAGTAATATTGTATATGACTACAATATACCTATAGTCTTTAAATAAATCATTATGTATATACTAAAAAAAAAGTAAAAAGTAAAATTAATTACTGTTCGATATGTACGTAATTGAAGTACTTGTGTGAAGTACTAGGAGTGAAAGCTTCGAAAACCTTATCTATCAAATAGATCAAATTTTTTATGTAGGTAAATAATTTATATTAACAAATTAATCGATTAAGCTAAATTTTCGTAACTTTTACTTGCCAAGCAAGTCTTTAACTGAAACCAACCTATAGTCTGTATAAAAATCTCTTTTGGAATTTGTATTAGCACACTACACCTACTATGGAATGACTTCTGTATTTGCTTATTTTTATTATATATATTAAAATATTGTAGATTTACAGCTCAATACCTCAAGAACTGAGCTATATAGACATGTATAAGACAATGGAATGAATTGCAACTCCTTACTAGAAAAATGAAGATTCTCTTTCAGTTGATCCGAAGAGATCTCAGTTTTATATTGGGTTAACTGATAGATCACTCTTAGTTAGAAACCACTTAGTGATTAAATATGCAAGAATATATCAGGAATCGACTGACTGATAGATTCGTTTTCATCTTTATAAGGGCGTCTCATGTACAATTTTCTTATTGGAATCTACCCACTTTAAGTTATTGGTACCACGTTAATACTTCAGTAAACCAGATCAACAAATTTATATAGAATTATAATGAGTAAATAGGCTTAAGTGAATCCATAAATTTAATAACCTAACTTAATATATACTTGAGACTTCTGATTGTTATTTCTATGGCATTCCTTCGTTCCATCGTGCCTCTGTTTTTATAATAAAATGGCATAAATATTTTATTGCAATATCAAATATTTCTTCTTGATTTCATATTGATAACTGAGCTTCAATAATAAAATAATAAATATGTGCTGAACTAAACTACAGAAATAAAGATTTAATATTAATTAAATTGAAAAACTTGTTAATTTTCTAACTACGAGCAAAAATGAATATGCGTAGTAGCAGATGAAGTTCTTTATCTAACATTCCGCAATGAGTCCTACAGCTATAATAATGTTTCATTTCAGAACCAAGCAAATTTAATAGCTACTAATTAAATTAACTAAATTAACTAAATGAACTAAATTAACTAAATATTAATAAATAACAAAGCCGTGGTTAAAAGATGAGGGATGACCAACTAAGTATATATCGATGATTCGATTGCTTAAACACGTTTAGGTCCTGAACTTTGTTAAAAACGTACGTATTTCAAACAAGAAATTAAGGTGAGTGCCTGATTGTTTGCTGAATGGATGGAGGTCTGTCCTGCAAATAATGTATGACGTGGGGTTCAGTGTTCAGTGTTGAGTGTTGAGTGTTGAGTATGTGTGAGTAGTTGAGTAAGTGACTGATTTGTTTAGTGACTGACCATGTAAGTGGGTGAAGGGTGAAGGGTGAAGTGTCAAGCGTGTTGGGAATGTTTCATTTAATAAACTAATTTTATATTTAAAGTGATAATATGCTTTAAAGTGATAATATTTATAGACTCACGTGTTTCTTTAAACGTATGAAATACGTTTTATGTTTAGATTAGAAGATTTTAGTTGCGAAATACAAATTCTTAACAATTCTATGTAGTCACTTTACTGCTAAAATGTAATTCCTCTGTGTGTACTAATTGGTTTAGCAATATCTGGCATATAACATATAGTTATGCAGTGAATTTTTATTATGAAATTACTTAATTAGTTTCTTAATTAATTAATTTAATTATTACTAGATGGTTTTAATTGTTTAAAATATATATATTTTTTTTATTAGTTTTTGCCCAAAAACGAGCTCAATTAAATCTCAAAGTTGCCATTGCTAAACCAATTAATTGTATTAATGTCGGCAAGTATGGAATATTTCCGTCACCTGAATGAGGCAGGTGTGAGGGCATTTTAGAAAATAAACACAAAGAAAATATAGAATTCAACATTCATACAAGTTTAAAAACGAAATAAATAGAAGAGAAAAGAGAGAAGAAGAGAAGAAGAAAAGTAAAATTTACTAATAAAGTCATGAGTAAGAATGAGATAGAGTTAAGTAGTGAGCGAAGTTAAATAGCGGGAATTCACATAGTTTTTTTTGCTAATACCTTATTGAAGTAGGTGCCCTACTGGGTTAAATTAAAAAATAATTTTACACACATACATATAGAATACGTAGAGAGTTTAAATAATTTACAGGGATTTAAATAATATGAAAGTTCCTAATTAACAAACTTACTACAAAACATTGTCATATGGTTAAGTTAAGTATTTTATGTACATTTCAGATTTATAAATTAGTACATTTATATATGTATAGTAAATTGCATTTACAAAATTAAAAAATGTTTATTTGGTGCAGTTTTTAATCAAAAAGATTTTATAATAATTTAGAAAATTTTATTTAAATTTAATATTTAATTATTTATATTAACCATATTTCGGTATTTATCCGGAACACACTGTATTAATATAACTTTGTAGTTACTGTGTTAAATATAGAAATCGAAGAGATGTTTTGCCACGGGACCAGGTTGCTGAATGGCTTCCCAATGTGCAAAACTCCATGCAGCATTTATAATATTATAAGTTTTATATTTCTATAGAAATTCTAAAATTTGAATTTTTTGAGATGTTAAGAAGTTGTCGTATGTTAAGAATTTTGAATCATCTATTTTAAGATTTACATATATATAAAGAAAAAAGTAGTTCCCAAAAACTTTTCTACTTTTCAGATTTGTTGATCGCTTAGTAAATCCAAGTGATTTTTTTTTAAATTTATAAGAAAGTCGATGTCGAAAGCGTTGCCACACTTTTGATAATAAGACTAACATATATACACTCAAATTAAGACAAATTGTTGGCAAATGGAAATTTTTTGGTTTCCTTCACGCTCCATACAGTCTATATGTTCTACGGAAATATGGTTAATAATAATTATCAAAATGAAATCTTTTTTATTTCAAATTGGAATTAATTACTTTATGTTGATATGGTACATAATTTTTGGTCGATATAAAATATAAGAAGTAATTCTTTGAAAAATATTTAAATATATTATATAATATATAAATTGAATATAAGGTGCAATTAATTAATAATAAAGTTATTAGTCACTAAGTTAAAATTATGTTAACGATGTAAACTGTATTTTATTATATTATATATTAAAAACAGAATTGAACATATATACAAAGAACTATATTATTATAAATTTTTTTAGGGGTCTTGAAATTTTTTTTATATATTTAAATATTAAATTCTAAATAATTAATTTTTAATATTATTAAATTTAATGATTTAAAAATATTTTACTAAAATTGTTGATGAGTTAATATATAATTATTAACTAATATTCTTTTATAGTGTAATGTAATTAACTTTAAATTTACACCGTTAACACTGAAACTATTTAATTATATCAATAATTTATTAATTAATATTTTTATTATATAAAATAGGAGTATATTTTAGTACAAATATTAGTATTTATAGTATTTTTGAATGTGTTCGTCGGGTTCAAGTTTTTTTCAATGAAACCAATATACAATGAAATGAAATTTATAAAATAAAATTATATAAAATTATATAGTAAAACAAATAATAGTAATTTAAGTTGACATAAAATATTTCAGACAATTTTTTGTTATATATAAAGTTATTTAATTTATTTTTTTTTTTTAATAAAATATTTTTATTGCCAACATATAAGTAAATAAAATTATATATATATAACAAACCAAAAAAAATGTCAAATTGTTTTGTTAATTTTGTACGATCTAAAATTTGAAACAAAACAATTATAATTATATTTTTAATAAGTAATATTTAATTGATAATCCGTTAATTTCCATTTGAAATTTGTAATAAAAATTATTATTATTTTTGGAAAATCAACTGAAATTATAAACTACGAAACTTAAAGTTAATTAAAAAAACTTTAACAAAAGAAAATGAACTGAACCGTTCGACTCACTCACGACTCACAGTGCATTTCGTCCGAATCATCACCAGGACCACAATTTTTAATGCCATCGCAACGTAATTTATCTGAAATACAGTATCCAACTTCACATTGAAAGTGGAATGTTGATTCGCAAAGTAATCCAATAGATGGAGGTCCTGGACCAGAATCTTGGATTTCAGTCCATACAATACGGAAGCCCTGTAAAGGATATAGAACATATAACATATAAAAATACAATTGTATTGGTTCTAATCTCAACTTTTTAAGAATGAATAATTCAAGTTAATGGAAAATCAGATTTCTGGAATTATAATTTATTTGATGTTATTATATTCTCTATGAAAAATTCATTTATAGACTGTCGTAGACTAGAAACTTGTTAAGAAAAAGATAATGAATACATTTTTTATTCTAATACTTCAAAAAAAACCATAATATATAATAATATAATTATTATATTCTGTTTATATATAAAAGTAATAAAATAGATTGAATTTTGAATGAAGGCACTTCATCCAGTTAAGCTTTCACGCAAAATGTTACTAATTTCATTATGCATCGCTTAGCTGAAAACTTCCGTTTGGGTTTTAAATATCGAAATGATTAAAATGCAGACTGCCATGTCAACGTAGCAGTCCGTGAGCGGAAGCAACTGCCGCTTTAGGCATTTTAATGCGGAAATGCGCAGCCAATAATGGTTTGTACTCGTAAATGCTTTGCCCACATTTGCATTTGGTGATTCTGGGCAGATGTGAGCAGTTGTGTGCAAATATCGCTTGCCGATGTAAGAGTTCTACAATGGAAAACAGCAACGGAAAATTTTACCGCACAAATTGACAGCAAACCATGTACGAAACAATTGGCGTTTTACGTGAATTTGACTTCTGGTTGCCATTGTTTGTTGTTTACTACTAACCACACATACGCGCTAAATACTAAATACTAAACAGCCTCGTATTGCAGATGCATTTCTGCATACATACTGACAACTACTGAAATCGCAAACTAAAGCTAGAGATAAGAGTTTTTACTCACCGGTGCACCAACGGTTTTATCGCTGGTTGTGAAACTTATACGTGCAGTTTGTCCTGTGGATATGTAGTGCCATGGTTCCGCTGGTGGTTTTTCACCACACAATTCCAATGGTGGTTGATCTGAATCGACATTTACCCATAAACGTAAAACAGCTGCTGGGCAACCGCGATCTATTATTTGGAAAATACGATTACAATTTTTTAGAAATAGGAATAGGTAGATATGTTTATTTCATTTGTATGAGTAAAGAGACTTACTTGCTGGGTCGCCTTCTAGTGAGAAAATTTCAAAATTTATAGATAGCTTATAACCGGGACGTGCTGTCATTACCCAATTGCAAGCCATTGATGCCATACCTTTGCTTGGTGCTTTATAGCCCGGATAATTGGGCGACAGTATAATGCCAGAGTCTTCATTCGAGAAATTGCCACCGCAATCGCCAACATCAGATTTGGCTGCTTCGAAGAAATAACGCGCTTTAAAGCCACTGGCAACATTTTCCTGGTCTGTATGAAGAGTGATGCGCAGACCAACCGCACCCCTTGGGCTCTCAACGGGGCCGGGTGCTGTGAAACCACAATAGCGACCAAGAAAACGATCGTTATTGTCACGATAGACAACATACATTTCCAGCCAGTCTTCAAAGCATGCACCAGAGCTAAGAGTGTTTTAAACATATTGTATATTAGTGTATTCACAACTATTAATTATAAATCTAAATAAATTAAAATAATTTTTTTTACGCTAATTAGTGAATAATTAATTAAGTCTTATCTTCGAGAAGTTGGGATATATATGATTACGTACGGTTTGAAGCACTTTTTTTGTACAATAGTTGATAAACTAATATATTGACTAAATATGCTCTATTAACTTTGATGATCTATTTTATTAGCATAAGAAAACTCTTTAGACATAGATATTTGAGACTATTTTATTCTATTATTATTTTAGTGCATTTAACAACTAACAACTTTTTTGTTAAATCTAAATTTTAAAAATTTTTTAGTTTTTAGTGCTATTAGCTGACACTTTGTTGCATGCAGAACTGAAGTATTTCGTAATTAATATGAATTAAATTCCGAATTAATATTTCTGGTTTATAAGTTTTTTCCTGAATCGCGTTTACAAATAATTTTTAAATCTGATATTATAAAGAGTATTATTCACTAAATTATTGGTATGTTTTTGAAAGAATGCTTCTTACCCGTAGGCGCCGACTGTTGCATTTGCATTTCCATCTGCTTTTACTTTAAAATGATCGAAGACAATTGTTACTTGTTCATTGGGTTCTGCTAAGAACAAATACGAACAGTTTGTCTCTGAAGGATAATTGGATGGATAACGTGGACTGTTTAATTCACCGCGTTTCTTAGAACTGCTCACATATGTGAAACTGCATGTGCCATCTGGAGCAGCAGTACCTGGTATTTTATACTCCGTTTCGAAGGTATACTTTCCTTTGAAACCACGTCCTTGCAGCTCGCCTGAACTGAAAACCATTGCCAAACGTGGTCCATCGCTAACAACACGCTGTGTTTCATTACCACAGAGTTCGTAGTCGAATTTATCATATGCATCTGCAGTTTCCTGACCCTTGAGATATATCTTTAAGTAACCATCACTACAGTTGGACCTGAAATTTTAATTAGTTGTAAAGAAAATATTTATATTTGTTAATTTGATAATAAATGAACAGTAGCAACTAACTCGCTCTTATCCTTGTGCTCCACCTTTGGTATATTGAATGCCATAAACTCTAAACGCACGCGTTCCAAGTGTTGAGCATCTTGCATGCCATATATGAAATATCTTTAGAAAAGAATATATGAGTTAAATTAGTTAAAGATTATAGCATAATATTTATCGGCTGTGGTTATTTACTCACCTGCATACTGTTTTTTGTATATACGGATAAGGATAATTTGGTGAAAGCACAAAACCAGTTGATTCCTTTTTCGATAATATCTTTTGGTCACATTCTGAGCCACGTATGTGAATGCCATCGTTTTCACCTGAGTAAGGTTTTATATGCATTCAAATGTGAGCGATGCGTTTTTGTTGCATTTCAAATTTTCGTTTAAGGACAATTAAGTGTTAGAATAGAGTAGACAGTATGGATAAGTACACGTAATTCGAAATTTAGAGTATTTGTAACGCACAATTATTTACAAATTAAAATAAATATAAAACACATATATCAATTAAATATGATGAAAGAAAATAGAGGAGAAAAAATAAAGCACATAGAGCAATTGAATATTTTTAGGCAAAATGAAAAGGGGGAAAAACAGTTTTGAAATAAGAACTTCAAATGAAAATGCAGCAACAATTATCGCTTTAATAGAACGGTGTACATGCACATACATTTAGACTTCAAATGCTTTATCAACCAGAGTGTGGGGCCTTGAAATTAAGAGCTTTCATTGATAAGTCTACATAAATTAATATTCTTCATACAAGGTAATAAAATCCAACAGTAATTCAGTTAAAATTCAACTTGATTATTTATTGCGAATCCTAATATTTGAAATTTGTGAATATCACATTATTATATTAATTTAAAATATTGAAATTATTTATTTAGAAATATATTTCAGAAATTTCCAAATTTAATGGCAGTTTTATTCGCTAAATATTATTTGGTTAGTAGCATCATCATTACTGACAATCACTTATATATATTTAAAACTTGATTTCATTCCAAATGGAATAATTATAATTCCTTACAATTTCTATTAAAAGTATTGAAATAATTATAAATAGATTTTTAAATACACGTAATTATTAATGATAGTCACACTCACAGCTCTGACTGCCGTATATAATTAAAATATTCTCATTTTTATTTTTTATTTCTTTGCACTCATATCACTGCTTAATGAATACATTTGAGTTGAACTGATAGCCGATTGAGTTGAGCAACGCAAGAGAATCAGAGAACCAGCAATGCAAAAGCAAAAACTATGTGCAAAAAAGTAATAAGCAAACTGCAACAACAACGATGTTGTTTCCATATTACAAGTTTTATTTTTAAGTACAAAATTCATTCAAGTGGGTAATCTTGAAAAGTGAACTTATCGTTGCAAGTGAATTATTATAAAATGAAATTTACGTTATTACGATGCAGTTCACATGTAAACTTTTTAGTAATGTACTACTATCTACTATATACTACAATAAGGTTAATGTGCTTGGTGGAGCGTAGCATAAGCCACACGTAGAACTATTGGTTCTCAGCAATATTAGATAAGGTTTAACTTCGATGCATCATATTGAATGTCATATGTCTGGTGCTCTATTTTTAAAAATGAAGCGATCAAGTGTTTTCAACAGAAAGTATTTAGAACTGTCTTTAGGGTACACCTTAGTGGGTTTTGAACTGAAACCTATCAAGCTATTATTTTGTACTAACAAAAAGTTATTTTATGCTTCTATGTTCAGTAATATTTTTGATTTCGAACAAAATTACTATAAAGAAGAAGAATTCTTTAGTTTTAGTTTCGTGTTTTTAAGAAACTTCAATGGCGCTTTATTTGGAATGTTTCCGGTATTCGCACACTGATAATATTATTTAACATATTCTTAACTTGAAATCTTTTGACCTTCGTTTCAGGTAAGGATATTTTAATTGCAATCAGTTTATTTAAATTTTATGATTTAATGGTTTACACGACTAACTGATTGGCGTGACTACCAAAATAGCACGAGATCTAGCACGAGATCTAGCACAAATCTTGCGTGCTTCTCGAAAAACAAATTTTCAAAACTATTTTTAAAACTTCCAAGACGATAAAATGCAAAATTTTTATAATAAATTCCTTAAATAAATCAAAAAAATATAAAGTACAACAACAAATTCCACAACTCAATCAATCCATTAACATAGAACTTTTACCACATATGTATGTATTATGTATGTATGTACACAAATGTTACAAAATCACACATCAAAGGAAATTGAGTCATACTTACGTATAAAATCTAATTTAACAAAACTTTCGCTAAATTCATAAATTCCCTTAAAGCCACGATTTTGCGTATTTGCGGTTCTTGGTAACGTATAAAAATGAACAAAAAGGCTCGATTCGCTTGAGTATAAAACTAAATTTCTTTGCTGTCCGCAATATGTACCGATTAATGCTGACGAATTGTCAGGACCGTCATACACCTTGACATAGTCAAATGGGCAGCTGCGTATATGATATTGTTATAGTTGTAGTTGGTAGTTGGTGGTTGTAGTTGTAGTTGTAGTTGTTGTTTGTAGTTGTTGTTTGTTTGGAAAGTTTGGAAAGGTGTGAGTCAAGTACGAAGAGTATAGGAATAAAGAAAATTGTTTTTTATGTTTTTTAGATATAAAGTTAAGCAGCTCGATAACCTAAGTTAAGCACTACAATCACGGCTCATATGGTGGGTGGGCATATGAGGCACTGCTTTAATAGTGCTTACTTTAGATTTCTGTTCACTTGTCCAGCATTAGAGGTACTCACTGTGGTCCACCAAAAAATAGATCAAAATCGCGAAATTCTAGTCTAACTCTTTGATTTGTTTCGCCAAGAAATTGATATGTGCATGACATATCCTTTGGATAAGCACCTGGATAGGTTGGCGATATTAAAGCACCAGATTTGTTAATACTCATGCTAGGCGTGATGGTGTAGGAACATGGTGAACCCGCAATTGGTATACCAATTTCATATTCCGCTATTATTAAAATTTTTTAAATTATTTAAATTTATTTAATTAATTTAAATTTTGTTATATGTTAGCAAAAAGAGAATTGTTGTTTTTATAAATTACGAGTATTTAAAAGTTTATACTTACATGCATTTATAAATCTATAGGTTCCTTCGAATAAATCAGGCATTGTTATGTTTTTGTTAGTAAAAAAAGAGATGGCAATTGCGCGATACATGGAAATACGACGCCGTGGCGGTATTGTGCCACAATAACGCCCACCAAATGGTGAGTTTATCAGTTCAGCTGGATCAGACGACTGCACTTCGGAATATATATCCATGTATTCATGAACACAACTAAATTAAAAAATAAATGCAAATCACATTTAGTATACTTGTTTTTTTTGCTTATCAATTTATTTTAGTCTTATAGATCTCAAGCTTTTTCCTAATGATGGATTTAAAAAAATTGTATGTAAATTTTCATTTAGTTGGAATTTCATCTGGATCTAACTAAAAAATACACGTATGTACTTTTATTATTTTCCAAGGTTCCTATTTGTGGGATGTTCCGATAATGGATGATGGATTTAAGTAAATTTATCAAATCTGGGGCTCTATTTATATAATAATAAGTTATAGGTGTATCAACCCAAAGACAACACCTATTGAGGTAATGCAGATAGTAATGCTTAAAACGCTAAAAGCAAATAGCTAAAAACTTGAAACTTTAATTGACGCAGTTTTCTACTGGCCGTGTTTATTTCTCATTCACTGTACTATTTCAAATGTCTAAGTTTTCTCTGATACTCTCTGATACTAGAAACTGATTAGAGATAGCACATGTTACGGAGATAAACAGTGGCTATTTGAATTATTTTGTGTATAACTATTTTGTCTTAGTGGATTGAATTCGAAATTATACTTGAAGTATGCAATGGTCATTCTTCCCTATATTCGAAGACCAGAATCATATCTGTTGTCTTATTACATAAACTGCTAATATATTAACCCTCGATTGTAATTGGTACAGCAGCAAATAGTAAGAGATTGTAATAGATACTGAGTTTTATCAGATGTCTTCTCATTACTATTATATCTACATTAATGACTATTATGTAGCATTATTATGAACTATTATGACTATTATTATTAATGAATATTATGTTTAGGGATTAAAATTAGAGTAAGTCAAAACATATAGTTATGGTAAGGAGTGTACAGTATAAAACTTCAGGAGGAAGTCATTTTGGTTATGTTAGCTTATCTTTTGTAGTAAGTTAAATGTCACTGTCACTCAACAGTGAAGATTCTTATCTATTAAGGACGTTACCAATTCAAATGCATTCACTTCTTCTTAATATGGCGTTTCGGTGAAAGTATTGTGTAGTTCGAAGTATCTTAGATATGCCTACAGATTGTTATCAATTTAAATATTATTAATAATAGTTTAGATAGTACTATATTTCTCGTAATCAATTACATTTAGGTATAAATAATAAATGAAATTTCGGTTAATTTTCTTAAAGATTTTAGCAATTATATCTTAAAAATATTTTTCATAAGCACGGAGGTCTTCTTATAAAGTTTTGATATAATTAATTTGATTGAATTATTCAGCAAAGATTATTGAGAAGCACTGCAGGGATATTGCAGGATTGAAAGAGTATGATTACTTTGTTAAAATATTTCATGAAATCTCAGATGAATTTATGATGTGTGGTATTGTATTAAAATAAAAAATTATATTTGTTCTTACTTTGGTAATTCACCAACAGCCGAGCCGCTATTAAAATAACAAAAAGATTATTTATGAAAATTATATCAGATATTCCGCAGTATATATGTATATTGAAAAGTATTCACTTACTCAGGTGGACTCCCTCTTAAATTGAATGAGGTAAATATTACTTCAACTCGTTGGCCAGGTCCTGCTAGGAAAGTATAGAGACATTGACGTGAATGATTTTTGTGATTGTGCAAGAGCGGAGCAGAAAATGTGCCATTTTGGGGGCCACCAATACGTGAAACGAAAGTTTGATCGCATTCTGCAAGAAAAAATAATATAAATATGCATTAATTATTTATAAAAATTTATGAGAAAAGCAATTTATGGTTTTAAAAAAAATACATTTAATTAAACAATGGCGTATAAGGACAATAACAGAATATATATATGGTATATGGTATATGGTATATTGTGTGCTTGCAACATAAATTGTCAAGAGATAACCGGCAAGGCTTTGTTTGGTCAGTGGCAAATGTATCTGTGAGGCAATATTTTTCACTTATATTTTTGGCAATTGAAAATGTGTGAAGTTTTGTGTTTATGGGTAGAAATACGAGTATGCAAACACAAGGTTATGTGGCTGTTATTTATGTGTAGCTCGTGGCATAGTTTGATTAGATTTGTGACATAGAATGCAAACGAATGCGCCACAAATAGTTGCAAAACTGAATTCGAATAAATATTCATTTTAATATATTTCTATTGTATTTTGTATTAATTACATATATAACATATTTAAAGCATTTTCAAAGTACGTGCAACTAAGCGACTACAACTACTACATACACACACACACATACACATCGGGAGAACATACTTGGCGATTTGGTTGGTCTCGGCAGAGGTTCCAGATATGCCACCACTGGTATCCACGTCTGAGGTTCTGAATATAAATCGCTTCTTAATTCAGCGGCGTCAACATTGGACGCCACTGCCGAGATACACAATTAAAAATATACAAAAACATAGAAAGAAATAGAAAAAAGATAGGAATTATATGAGACAAATTCGTTTTTACAATACTACAAAAATGTTGTTATTCACATTTTAATTTAATTTGAATTTAATTTGAATTTAATGCATAAATTTAATTTAATTTAAAAAAAAAACAGTCTTTTGTGATGTACGGATGTATTGCATGACGAGTATGTAAATGCAAGTGTATAATGTATATGCAAATTTTAAAATGATAGCAATTGTACAAAGCTTTTGATAAGGTAAGTGGATCTTAAGACGTTCTAAATAAAAATAATTTATTTTGCAAAAAAAATAATAAAAAAAAATAAAATTCAAAAATGAATAAAAGCATGCTTGGTCCACATATTGAATGGATGATTTACTTAACAATTATTTTTTTGTATTAGCACACAAAAGCGAATCCATTAATTTCTGTAGTAATAGGTATTCTAGGTATTCTATGCATATGGCATTTGTTGTTGTTATTTGTAAAGTATCTATTATTTTTTTTTCTATTGATGAATAAAACAGGTGCAATACAAAATAAGTACATATTTTGCTCACTAGATTGTGTAAGTATTTGTTGCTTTTATCAAGGTACGCTTTCATGTTCATCGTGCTGATTGCAATGCACTGCAGGCAGTTGCAATTGTAATCAACAATTCACTTCCGCGCCTCCCACACACGTCGCAGATATGCATTATGTGCAAAAATGTACACCAAACGCGTTAAATTCGCAATTAAATTGAAATTTACAACTGCATTCGCTGTTTGTTGCAATGAATCTTTTGTTTTGCGAATTCACTAGAAATCCTGTAAATGACTTATCTCTCCCACCATCCCTCAAAATTTAACAACCTCAACACTTAGCAATGAAATTTCTAAACAGAAATTTGTTTTCACTTCATATAAACTAAAATTCAATATCCCTGAAGATTAACTAATTTATGGAAAATTTTCTCAATAAAAGTAAAAATGAATAATGAATACTTTATCAAACGAACACTTTTCATCATGCAAGTCTATATTATGTTTTCAACTTTTTATATAACTGAATATATTTGGAAGGTTACATTAACACTAATTAGCATTGGAAGAGTAATGGAATAGCTGAGCTAACTCTCTGAGCTGAGAAATATCTCTGACAACTGAAAAGTAGACGAACTCACTAAAACAATCACGGTATTATCCGATAATCATTCTTCGGATATTGGTGTGCCTTTTACAACGGTTAAACTGGCAATCTAACATTAGTACCTGGAATTAGTAATGAAAAGTTGGACAGATAAAGATTCTTATTAATTGAAAGACTTGTCTGGTCAATTGAACAATATTTGCAAAAATCAGGTGTTTCAAGTAAAGCGTAAGCAACTTAGTACTTAGTACGGTGTCGGCGCTGATAGGTCACTGGATATGAGGAAGGCATGCAATAAAACTATGTCTACTCTGTAACGACTTTTGTCGGGGTTGTAACTCTACGGATGAAGAGAAAACTATAGTTCAAGTCATGTGTTCGTGTCCAGTATTAGCTAGGAGAAGGTTCAAAAGTTCTGGGGTCACTTTTTTAACTAATTTAACATTGCTCAAAATGAAAACAACGTGGTTTTTTTTCTACGAATAAAGCTATTCATTTGTTAGATATTTTGTACTAATAAGTTCTAAATTATATCAGTTCATTAAGCAATAGCTTTAGAAAACTCATAGTTAGTTAGTTAGTTGTGGTGGAGAGAGGACGAATCCTCCTCAAATAGCTAAGGATGAAAGACGTTTTGAATCCACAAAAACCTCGTAATAGTGGGTAGTAGATAGAGGGTCAAACTAGAACCAACCAGAGACATTAACAAAGGCAAGAATCTGGCTAATGCTGATACTGGAGATATCATTGAGTTGAAGAAAGGGGCCTCTAAAAATTTAAACCTAGTTCTGGCCAGACCTGGACAAAAACACATCAGGTGTTCTGGTGTCATTTCTTCAAGTATTGGTAGACACGCACTACATGAGGTACCACAGGGAAGGCCAAGTCTAGCTTCATGCCGTCCCATGGACCAGTGACCCGTAAAGACAGAAATTAGCTTAGAAACCTCAGATTTGTTTCTACAGATTAAGTCAGAGGTTCTATATTTGGAATAGATGGGCCAAGTAGCCCTTGACCTAGCTGCTGAGACAGTAAGAGTCCACTCACTATTTGCCTGTCGCAAAAAATGGTCACAAATCAGCCTACGCCGGTAGCTGACAGGGGTAGGGATCGAAATAGGGGTATCCGTGGAAGAGGCGACTGGCTTAGCAAGCTCGTCAGCGCGCTCATTTCTCACAATATTAGAATGCCCGGGAACCCATACTAGAGTAACCTTGGACCTCTCACTTAGTTCACTGATAATTTACTTACATTCTTCTACTAATCTCGATGACAGACAGACTGCTGATAAAGCTTTAATAGCTGTCTGACTGTCAGTTAGAATGCAGACCTCTTTTCCGTGAAGGCGCATATTTAAAGCAAGAACACTTGCCCTAAGGATGGCAAAAACTTCAGCCTGAAATATTGAGGTGGAATCTGATAAAACTCATAGTATTTAGTTAATTTCTGCTATATGACTTATTTTGTTCTAATATAATTTAAATGAAGTTTTTGTAATTGTATCTTTAATAAAGCATAAATTTAATTTGCGTTAGACCCCATAAAGTGCATTAGCTGTTGGTTATTAAGTATATTACGAAATCAAATATCTATTATAGACAGTCGAGGGTTTTAGTTTCAAATTCTTGGAAACTTAGCACTAGTGAGCTAACTAGTGTCTATTTCTTATTATGCTAAGAATAAGATCTTCATTTCTTTAGTTGGGAAAAACATCGTAATATATATTAAATGTTTTGAAGACGGTACTTCCTAGGTTTAAATGGTTGTGTATGAAATATATGCTAAAATCATATACATACTATAGATGTATACTGAGGTATTACTGTTGTTTTTTAGAATCTAAATATGAAACGGTATTTGTAATTGTTTTAAATTTTGTTAAAAAATGAAATAATTTTCATTTGACAATTGTAAAGCAAGTAACTGTGCAGTCACCAAAAGGTATGAAAAATTGCCACCTAAGCAATAGTAAGATTATATACTATATAAATAATTCTAAAATTTCTAAAAGCGTTTCAAGTATCACTGGAAGACGTATATGTAGGTAGATGCTGAAATAATTGTAGTTGTTAAAGAAAATTGATTAGTTTTAAACTCTGCTTTGGAAAAACTTGATTGGAAATATATCTGTATTAAGCTATTACCACTAAACTGTGTAGCCCTAATATTAAGCAGGATAACGAGGTAACTTCAGCCTTTAAAAAAAAAGCTTTATCATATTTAAACTTGATTTGTTACTTTTTATAGAAACAACAAGTAAGCTAAGGGCAACCCTAGGAAATGTGATCTAATGGATATTCAGTCAAGTAAAATCTCTGTCAATAAATATAATTTGGATTAAATCTAAATACTAGATTCTTACTAGATCCTAAATACTAGATATTAAAAAACTGGAAGACTACTGTAGTGACACAAAATCGAACATAAATATCTGTTCAGCATTGTTGTTCTTGGAATTTACTTCATTATTAGATCAAATTGAAGACTTCAAATATCTGAAATCTGAAGATGAATGAGATTAACTATTCAAAACTTTGCTGAACTGTAGTTAGGTAAATTAAATTTTTTTCTAAAGTATGTTAAAGATATAATTTTTGAAATATTTAAAACTCCAGTGCTATCAAGTTTATAACATTAATTGTTTTTTTATAGATATAAGATTCAAAAATTTTAAGTTGGTCTCCTAAGTTTTCTCTATAAAATTTCTTCTGTAAGTGTTCTGTGTTTACATTTCACATTAGATGCAAATAGTTTCATTATCTGTAAGTTTCTTCGTTTCAGTTTTACAATGCAATTAATTTTGTATGCAAATCACGCATAGTTTCTATTTACATTCAATGCATAACTTGTACCTTTGGAGAATTTGCTAGAGTTTCAAATGGAGAAAACTTGCTGAAAAAAATTAATTTAAATGATAACACAGAAGAGAACGCCTTAAATCTTTTCAAATCGGATTAAACCTGATAATAATGAAATATCTGCACTTCCAAGCTTGCTAAATATAATTGTGTTATTGCAGCAAATGTTTTTAATTGAAATTTGAATCACAAGTACAATTTAATGTTGGTTGGTTTATACGTGTACTTCTATATTTCGATGAGAGCATTAGGTTTTAGTAATTTTAGCTCATACTTGTTTTGCTTTGAAATTAATTCGATTTATTGCAGTAATTTAAATTAAATACACCTCCTTTTTACTGGTATGTTTTTGAGTGAATTGTTAGTTTTTGTAACAGAAACTTTTGTAAAGTTAGTTATAAAATACAGAAAAATGAGAGTACATTTAATGAAACATTTAATATGAAACGATTAAGGAAAATTGAACTTAATTAATGCGCACGTATATAGATGAATGACTAATCATGCAGAGAGACAGACGAATATTCATTTAGACTGCTTCATTTTGTTTAGTTATTCAATTATAAATAAAAAAAAGGTACAAAGGTCGTTACAAAAAGGTACCCACTGTTAGTCACATTTTGGAAGGCTTTGAGTTAGAAGTAAAAAGCCATTCATAGGATTGATTTAACTTTCTGCGCAGAAAGCGACAGTTTGTAAGTGCATCAGTTCTTATGTCTATAATAATATAAAAATTTCCCAAGCTCTTATTATATGCATGTATCTGAAACAGTTTTTTAATTTTCCAAAAATTGTTAGTGAGTGTCTTGTGTACCTCTTCAGCATTCTCTTCAGTGTGTCATACACATCTTTTTTCATTATGGTGTATAGAATACCCATTCCTTTTTGAATTTTAATTGTAAAATACTATATCTTCTCGGGAAGGTACAATATTTTCATATACAGATCTGAAGTCGTTTATTACTTAGTCTGATTAAGTGA